GGTCTGATGCAGTAGGAGTAGGCGTGTGCGGAGGCGTGGGGGTGGTAGGAGGGAGTGGAAATCTAAACAGGGAAGGAGGGAAACTCCTGTCTGCAGGTGTGTTCCCTTTCTTAACAGGTGAAGAGGGGGCAGATGTGCATCTGTCTCTTTCTCTACCCCTCTCTTCACTAACATGTCCAATCAACTTGTGAAATTGCTTCACCTGTTCCTCTTCTTCCTCCTCATCTTCCTCGCGATTTCTTTTCAAGGAAGTGGCCCTTTTGGGAGGTACTTCCTCCACCTCCATGGCAACGTTTTCTTTTGCCGGGCTTTTTGCCGGACTTTTTGCTGGATTTTTTTGCTGTTGTTTTTGTTGCTGTTGTTTCTGTTGCTGTTGTTTCTATTGTTGTTGTTGTTTCTGCTGTTGCTGCTGCTGCTGTTGTTGCTGCTGCTTTTGCTTCTGTTCCTTTGTAGGCTGGACTTATTTTTGCTTCTTTTCCGGCTGTTTTTTGGAGGACGTTTCTTTCGGGACCGGAACGATAGTATTTTTCCGTCCCCTATCCACTTCTTTCCAGCCTTCTTCGGTGGGTTTTCCAGTGTTGGTTTCACAATCACAGCTGCTGTTATTGCTGATGCTGGAGTGGGGGCCGTTGGTTTAACATGTTTGCCCGGGCACTCCTTGGACATGTATCCCGACGCCCCACACGTCCAAAAGTACGGCTTCCTCCCCTCGACCACAACCAGCATCCTCCTCTTTCGGCACACCAGTGTGTTTGGGATTTCCCGGAAGTTCTCTCTATTAACTGTTATCTGTACCTCCATGTCCCCGGTCTGAATTCCGCTTTTACTGACGAGGGCCTTGACTTCGTTTACTTCGCCGTATTGGACGAAAAAGGCCCCCATCCTATCTTCGCTAATGTCTGCTTAGACACCGTGAATTGTTACCTTCGTTCTGCGGGTTCCCATATACTGAGTCTGCATCCGCAGATTCTTCGTTGTGAGCAGACTTCCAGCCAATGCTTTCGCCTGCTCCTCTGTCGCTAGGAGGATGTCCCACAAGGCGTTCGTTCTACGCGCCAGAAATTTAGGGTAGATATTTAACGACTTCAAGCCCTCCTCCATCACTTTTCTGCCAACCCCGATCAACTTGCGGGTCTTTACATCAGATGTTAACAGAGAGATTGTTCTGGTATCAACAGCATCTAATGCTTCTTGAATGGTAAGGAATTCATTACCTTTAAACGATTCCTTAAACTTTTTCCCTTGTTCACAGTAAAAGGCTGCATCTTTTTGTGGCGGCCTGTTTTGACCCCAGGCCGTCTTGGCAGGTGAAACCGGTTGAGAAGGCGGCGTATTGCAATCCTCGTTGTTATTGTCGGCCATGATGGGTTTTAGCGGCCCACCACGCCGACCACTTTAGCTTTTGTTCCTACTTTCTTTTTTGTTTCTTACATAGGAAGAAAATAAAAACAACTCAAAAGATAGAAAGAAAAAATGCACAAAAAAAACAAGAAAAAGATCAAAAAAGGGCTGAAAAAAAAAAGAAAAAATAAAAAGGAAAAAGAAAAGAAAATAAAGAGAATTAAACAAAGGCAAAAACAGAAAAACAAACAAAGGTTACAAAAAGTTTCACTAAAAAAGCTTAATTTATCGGTGTACTATGTATCCTGAAATAGACTCGTCTATATCGCTAGTTATGCAGATTCCATATATACCCAAAATAAGGGGGGCTGTTACGGTTTTTTGGGTATGTGCCATATAACTAGTGAGCGAGTCAGAATGACTTATTTCCCTTTATAGTCGACCAATACAAGGTTGACCAATCAGAAGCCGCCCAACACTGTATTCATAGTGTATAAAGGAGGTCAACTTGTTTCCTTCTACCGGAAGGACCAAAGTCGAAGGATGAACTACACTCTGCTGTGATATCCATTGCGAACCTCCACTACGTATTTACTTACTTACCCCAAGTACCGACTCTGATGATTTCTGTCTTCTCACGCGATCAAAACGGAATAGTCCATTATTTATGAGGTATTATCAGGAGATGTTAAACACTTATGTCTTTTTTTTTTTAAACTGAAATCAAACAGCGTCTAGCATATATTTTTGGGGATAGTCCATTATTTGTGAGCTATTCGTACGATGTAACGCTCGTGTGAAAATAACTAAGTGTGTAGGGGGGATAAGCACAGTTATATTATATGATATATTGTGTATCATCCCCCAAATAAACAAATAAAGGTAATTACTCTGTCTCCGGCCTAAGACGAGTTGTGACACAAGGTCTTTTTTTAAGGTGGGACGCATACACCCAGATAAAGAACAAAAATTGCCCGCAGCCCCCGTAACTGTCGATTGCGCTGGCCTCGGTGCTAGCACCGATCCCTCTCACTGGTGCAATGAGAGGGCGCGGCCTCGGGCAACTGTTCCCCAGGGCTGGGCACCTCTCAGTATATTTTTTGACGGAGCCGACCCTGAACGCATTCTACCCAATGACAGAGACGCAACTGAGAGATGATTAATAAATGTGTTACAAACAACTCGAGAGAGTAATTTACACACGTTTTGATTTTCCAAGCGTAGCTTAGACGTGGCACAAGGCCGAAAGTATGAGGCACCCAATCAGAATCGAACTCACTACTCAATCGTAATTGTTCTAGCGAGATAAGCTTGCTAACCATTACACCACCTCGAGGTGTCGAAACTTGTCTATTTTCTAAGAATATCTTAGATGTGGCACAAGGCCGAAAGTATGGGGCACCCAGTGAGAATCGAACTCTCTACTCAGTTGTAACTGTTTTAGCGGGACTAGCTTGCTAACCACTCCGTCCTGGGTATGATGATAAACTACATCTACGTCCTGGGTATGATGATAAACTACATCTACGTCCTGGGTATGATGATAAACTACGTCCACGTCCTGGGTATGATGATAAACTACGTCCAACAGCGGGTCCTCTGATCGGGAGTCTTTGAGGAGCGTGGAGACACCTCTTGGTTGCTGGTGTTCCCGGGGCCAAACTGACCCGGGGTGGTGGCACCTGTTGGGGTCCCAGCTGTGGGCGGGTAGTTGACTCCCAAGCTGGGATCGTGGCGCTATGAAGGTGTAAAGATGGGTTTTGCTACCGGAAATACTTTGTAAAAGCAATACATTTTTGAAAAAAAAAAGATATTACTATCAATAAAAATTGTCGGCATTAAATATTCCATTGTTTGGGGGGGTGATATGCCGTAAAACAAAACAAACCATACCAAACTTGCTAACCCCTACACCGCCTCGAAATAAATAAATACAAACACACAACAATTGTCACCTTACGATGGTCAAAAATTACATGGTCGAAACGTTGTGTCTATAATAACATATGAGATGAGAATAATAGTTCCTAGTGATTAAATTATACCGAACGATTTATCCGGATAAAATAGTTTATTTTTATAAAACTACTAATGCGTATATTTTAGTTTTAGAGTTCCTTTCAGATGAGTCACAGATTATGACAGAGCTGTTTTACTTTTCTAAGAGAAAAATACTCAGTTGAATGACACAGCAACAAGTTGGGACACATTCCGTGGTCAATCGGCCATAAACACACTTTAATCACGAGTTGATGACGAGGAAGGTTCATTGAAAAGCGTTCTCTCTGGTTTCAAGGGGAGACCATAATCGTGTTTCTGTTGTTTGTTTCCGGATTTGCGTATGTGTGCATCCCTTCACCACTGCAATTGGTCACGCCAAACAAAGGCTAGACGTATAAGATGGTGGTAAGGCAATGCAAATCTATGTAAATTGATATTCCTTTTTTATGTGTCGAATCCATCCAGAAAGTTAGCGATCATGGCGGTTCACAACTTTTGAAGCGCTTAGAAATATTGTATCCATTACAACCCGTATCTCTCCTGTTATCTATTTACACAAGCTCATTAGCTATACTTCTCGTTGTTTAACACTGCCTCTCTAAGTTTAAATATGCCTTGTGAGTGACAAATTCCCCAAACCTTCTGTTTTCATTAAATATCCCATGAATTTCCGGTTCTAAGTAAAATTTTCTTTTCTTTTTGTTTTCATTTTTTTAAAATCATTTCACCCCAAGCAAGGCAATAAAGCCTCTACGACACAAGAGGTTATTGAGATTTAGAGAATATGAGAAAAGGCACTATTAAAGAGAGCGGGCAATTTTTTTAAACATTTCCTCCCAATCAAGGGTATAAAGCCACTAGGACGCAAGAGGTTACTGAGTGTTAGAGAATATGAGAAAAACTATTAAGGAGAGCGGGTAATTTTTTTTAACCATTTCACCCCAAGCAAGGCAATAAAGCCCCTAGGACACAAGAGGTTACTGAGTGTTAAAGAATATGAGAAAAAGTACTATTAAGGAGAGCGAGCAATTTTTTTTTAACCATTTCATCCCAAGCAAGGCAATAAAGCCACTAGGACGCAAGAGGTTACTGAGTGTTAGAGAATATGAGAAAAACTATTAAGGAGAGCGGGCAATTTTTTGTAACCATTTCACCTCAAGCAAAGCAATAAAACCACTAGCCTGGCACATGGCCACAAGTATAGAGCACCCACCATACTCAGTATCAACCAGGCCAACATTTTATTATTCCTACCCGAGGTATACATTTAATACTTAACGTTAATAAAATACTACACACATGAGACACTCGGTGAGGACCGGTCTCACGAACTGGCTAGCTGGGGGGTAACACTCTAAGTAGTCTTTTAATAACAAGCTTAGCTTAGTTTTGAGCACGACTACCTCTATGGGACACCTGGTGAAACTCAAACTTACTACTCAGTAATGATCAAGACTGGCTCGTTAACCATTACCACAACCTCAGGAATCTTTGATCTCGTTACAATAGCTGGGTGATAATTATAGCTATTCAGTAGTGTGTGTGTATGTATTTATGTGTGTATGTATGTATGAGTATGCAGGAATGAGTATGCGGGTATATGTAAAGAAGAAGACACGAATGCGTGATTCACGGGGAATTCTGTTCGGGAAAATTAGATGCTCTCTTTTTTTTTCTTCCTCTTTTCTCATTTAATTAGTCCTTCTCCTTTTTTTCTTTTTTTTTTTTTCGTTTTCTTTTTTCATATCCTGGTTTATTTTCTCTTCTTTTTTTTTTGTATTTCTTTTCTTGAATATTATGGAGAGATGACTCATGAAAGACGTGAGGTGGTGTGTGACTTAGGCCATAAGAAGATTACGATCATTTCTTTCGATCTACCCCGACAAATAAAAAGACGAGAGATAAAAGAAAAGGGGAGAAAAATAGAATAAATAATAATAAAAGAACGTAGCAAATAAATGAAGTAAAGAGAAAAAGAAGAAAAAAATGATGACGTAAAGGAAAGAGAGAAAGGAAGAATTTAAAAAAAAAAAAAAAGATGGAGAAAATGAAAGAGAGAAAGTATAAAACGAAAACTTAAACCACCGAAGAAACGAAACTAATTACGATATAAAAAAGAAGAAAAAAAGCAACGTAAAAGAAAGAGATAAACGAAGAAAAGAAATGAAGAAGAAATAAAAAAAAGATAGACAGAAAGAAAAAGAAAACACGAAGAAATAAATGAAAGACAAGCGGGAAAAAATGAAAAGAAGAGAAGAAAAATGAAAGAGAAAAACGGAAGTGAAAAAAAAATGTCAACATAATGGAAAGAGAGAAATGAGGAAGAAAAAAGAAAGACAGGTAATGACGAATGAGAGAAAGAAAGGAAAAAGAAAGACCAAAAGAAAATATAGAAAGAAGAAAATGAAAAAGAAAAAAATGGAACATGAAGGAAAGAGAAAAACGAAGAAAGGAGAAAAAGAAGAAAGAAATAAAAGCTAGAAAGAAAGAAAAAGAAAATGAAAGAGAGAAGAGAAAAAAAGAGAGGAAAACAATGAAAGATAAAAACGGAGTAGAAGGAAAAAGAAAAAATGTGGACGTATTGACAAGAGAAAAATGAAGAGGGGAAAACAAGAAATAACGAATGAAAGAAAGGGATGAAAAAGAAAAGAACGAAAGAAAGAAATGAGAGAAAGGAAGAGATGAAAATAGATAAAGAATAAAGGAAATAGGTGAATGAGAAAGAAGAAAAGATCAAAGGGAATAAATGAAAGAGAAAAAAGGAAGAAAATTAAAAGAAACAGCGGAAATAAAGGAAAGAGAGAATAAAATAAAGAAGAAATAAAACCAAAGAAAAAAAAAATGAAAGCCAGAAAGGAAAAGAAAAACGGGAAACGAAAATGAGGAGGAAAAGAAAAGAGAGAAGGAAAAGAAGAAAAGCGGTGAAGAAAATCGGGAAAGAAATAAAATCGAGAAGGAAAAAAAAAGAAATAAAGGAAGAAAATGTAAGAAAGACTTTTTTTTTTCTTTTTTTAAGCGTTTCACCCCAAGCAAGGCGGGAAGTCACTAGGACGCAAGGGGTTACAGACGATTTGGAGCAAGATCAGATAGGAGTGATAGAGGAAAGGATGAGGAGAAGGATAGTGGATAGATCAAGGCAACTGGAGATGTCGATTGACATTACATTTGATATGAGTTTGGTTTGATCAGGCACACAGTTCTTTAAGTTGTATTTGAACTCGTAAATAATGTTGGTTCTTTGTAGTTTTAATTTTCCAGGAGTGTTATTTTTTTATTATAAGGTCAGTTCTTTCTTTCTTTCTTTCTTTCTTTCTTTATTTATTTATTTATTTATTTATTTGTAATAGATAATTAATTTAATTTTCTTGTTCCGGTCGATTGGAGTAGTGTATTTCTTTATAATATTTCTAAGTGAAAATTCATCTTGCTAAAAGTTGGCATGTATTTGATTTTTGTAGACGAGAGCCGAGCTCAATTCCATTTAGATTCATTATATTCACTTACGCGTCTAATACCCTTAGGAAAAGTTTGAATCCACCAATTCACCTGCCAGCTATGGGCTAATTAGTAAAACGTGTATCAATAAAACCATTATCTTAAAAAAAATACATACATACATATATATATATATATATATATATATTTAAGCATTACGCCCCGAGCAAGGCGTGAAGCCACTAGGACGCAAGGGGTTACAGAAGATTTGGAGCAAGATCAGATAGGAGTGATAGAGGAAAGGATGAGGAGAAGGATAGTAGATAGACCAAGGCAACTGGAGATGTCGATTGACGTTACATTTGAATAGTTGGAGATTATAGCACTCAGGGAAACTGGAATAGGGAAGGGAGTTCCACAGGCGAGAGGTGAGAGTTATGAAGCTATTGGAGTAGAAGAGGCGGCTACATTTAGGAGTTTCGACAGTAACAGGGGTGAGAGCTGGATGCCAGCCTACCTTCTTCTTTGTCATAATTACTTATATTCTTTTTCTATGTGCCGCGTCCCTGCAGGACCGTAACGACCATGGGTCTCCACAGTTTCCTGTGCTTTGTAGCTCTAAATAAATTTTGTCTTTTTACCACCTCTCCTAATCCCTGTTCTGCCAACAATTTAAACAAGTTTGTTTGGTACGTTATGTGTTGTTTCCTCGTCCGCTTTTGCTTTCAACATCTCCCGTGAGTGTCAAATTTTCGAAGCCCTCTTTCCTTATGCCCCTTGTAAATTTCAACTCTCTCTTTCCGGTGCTATGTATAAATGTCCTTTTTGTTCCCCTTTTCTCTAAAACCTTTTTCGTTGTTCACGTTTTCAGTCTGTGATATTCCCAGTATCCTCCCGTAGAACCACGTTTCTGTTGCCTCTAGGCTCTTCTTCATCTGTGAGAAGATTGACCAGCACTTACTGCTATATAGTAGATTTGATATTGTATAACAGTTCAGTGGTGTTTTCTTTATTTCTAACGAAGTTCCCTGTTTCTTGATAGTTTGCTTAGTTTTTGAAAGGCGTTTTTCGTTATCTCAAAACGCGTTCCGATTTCTGTGTTGTACTTTCCAACCTCTATTAAAACACTTTCTGGATATTTTAATTATTCTAGTTGACATATTTGGTATCACCAAGTTGTAATTTGCATATAGGGCTGTTCTTTTTGCTGACAGCCATACATAACTGATGTTTAGTCCTTTCTTTTTGCTTCCTTTTACTACCTTCTGTAGGGGTTGCTATAGTTCCCTTTCTATGTCCGCTATCAACACTATCGCCTGCATTTATACAGTGCAACCTCGGTTCACGAATGTCTCAAATGTCGAAGAAATCAGTTTACGAACAGAAAATTCGAGATAAAAATGCCTCGGTTATCGAACAAAAATTTCGGTTCTCGAACAACAAAGCCGAACAAATCAGTTTACGAACAGAAAATTCGAGATAAAAATGCCTCGGTTATCGAATAAAATTTCGGTTCTCGAACAACATAGCCGAACAAATCAGTTTACAAACAGAAAATTCGAGATAAAAATGCCTCGGTTATCGAACAAAATTTCGATTCTCGAACAACATAGCCGAACAAATCAGTTTACGAACAGAAAATTCGAGATAACTATGCCTCGGTTATCGAACAAAAATTTCGGTTCTCGAACAACATAGCCGAACCGTGTTAACCCGAACGGAATAATTTCTGAGTCGACCGTCGTGTTGTATACATCCGTGTCTTGTGGCGTTCTTTTCTTTTCTACTTTTATTGTACTGTGACTTTTTTCTCTACATTGATTCCTATTGGAAAAAATAGTTTCAGTTAACGAACAGTTCGGCTTACGAACGGCTTTCATGAACGAATTAAATTCGTGGACTGAGGTTTCACTGTAAGTCTGCCATCGTCCATGAATTGAACATTGCTCTCACATCTGGTGCTTCTGCTCTGTATTTAGAGATTCTTAGCGAAACCGAAAGAAGAATCTGCAATGCTATCAATCCTGACCTGGCATCTCGGATTCACTCACTTTACCTGTAACATAGCTTTATATATACCTTTCTATAAATATTTTCATGAATATTGTTCTGATAATATTTCGACTTTGGTATCTCAATTTTATGAATTTGATCATACGAATAGATTGACACCTAGGTCTCATCATTTTAAAGTTGAAATGGCTGGATGTAACCGTAAATTCTATGCTAACAGTTTCTTCAGGCCTCTTGCTTTCAGGTCAAATTTGATCTTCCAAAATTTAAATGTAATGTCAATCGTCATCTTCTGTCTTTTAATTTCTGTTCTTTTACAGTCCTCTCTCCTTAATAATGATTTTCTTTTACTCATATTCTTACATGCAATAACCACTCGCGTCTTCGTGGCTTCATTGCCTTCCTTGGGGTGAAATGATTAACAAAATGTCTTTTAATATACCGTATAATATGAGTATAGTACGATGATTTTTTTTACGCAAAAATAGTGGTCTCCCTATTGTTGTAAAGTAGTTTCTCACAGTGGAGACTTGTACTTCACTAAGTCGGTCCTAAATTAGGTTCGACGTACAAAACGTTAGGAACTTGAAATAAGAGTTAATGACGCATCAATCTAGTTGTGATGGTTGATACTTCAATGTCCGACATCGACTGACTGACAAAACTCCACTGAGCCCCAACTCGAAACTGCTACTACTACTACTTATTATCTGTGGGAGAGTCTATTTACCATAGAATAGGTAGTATAACACCTATACACTTGTAATTTTTTTGAAGATTTTTATAGATAAGACAAAAACGTTTGATAAAATTATGACACAATTAAATATTAGAACTCCTAGGGAAGACTCATATATTTTTGAAGGATATTAGAATAATCCAGAATTTCTCAAGGGAACAAACTCTCCGCATACGGATAGGAAATTAATCCAGTAAATATACAAAAATAGAAAATGTCGTAAGACAAGAATGTGTCTTCCCACCAGACCTATTCAACCTGAATCAATCCTGGGAAGATTATAAGTCCTACAAGGATTATTTATTGGCGGACACAATTCTAATAGCATTAGATAGATTCTGGCGAGAAAGACACGACACAGTGAACTTCCTTTCCTATCAGCAGATCTAGCAATTGATTCGGTATAATCTTCCCACTTTATTTCAGTGGAAAACGTTAGCCCGAGAAGGCGCAGATAACCACTCTTCTGGAGGTTAGCATCAGCCATGCTGACGGAAGGAAAAATGGTTATCTGAGGCGATTAAAAGAGAGCAGTTTCGTTTTGGAGATGTTAAAAAAACAAACAATTTCTTCTGACCCGTAGATTTCCTTTTTTTTAAATGTAAAGGAAAACGGTTAACTCAAGACCTTTAAATATTTAAAATAGATAAATTCATACATAAACAATTGAATAATTGAACAAAATAAAATAAAATAATAATAACATTAAATAAATAATAAAAATTCACCACAACGACCACCAACAAGAAGCCCTCACTTTCGTTCTTCAGGCAATAATTTATACCGCCTATTATCCTTAATAATTTACCTTTCCTTACACAGCTAGCTTTAAGAATATTTTAGAACGTTCTCAAATTTAAAATTATTCCATGATGAGGCGCCTGATTTTATAATTATCTTTGCAGCAGGACTTGTAAGAACTTACTTTCAAAATTGTTGGCATCTACCATATTGCTATCGTCTCACGTATTCATTCGTGAGGTCCCTAATTTTGAATATCACAGATGCGGCATTGTTATTATCATGTGACTGTCAAAGTTACTCACGGGAAATAATGCAAAAATGGTTTCTATGGCTTGGTAACCAGTTTAGGAGAAAGAAAACTGAATTCAAACCACTTGTAGGTCGTACCTCTTTAGACAAAAGCTAAAAAAGGTAACTTCAAGAGAAACCCACCTCTGGTGTCATTTAGGTCCTGCTTGTTTAGACAAAGGCTACAAAATTGTAACTTTAAAAGAAATCCACATCTGGTGCCATGTAGGTCCTGTCTCTTTACACAAACGCTATAAGTATGTTACTTCAAGAACAAATTCAAATCTGCTCTCTTCTAGGTCCATAACTCTTTAGGCAAAGGCTAGAAGAAGGTAACTTCAAAAACAAATCCACCTCTGAGAGTAAAGAGGAAGTAACTTCAACATCCCCGTTACAAAACAAACCAGCAAGCCACTGAACTATTCTACGTTGAATGTCACGATGAACCACATTTTTTGAGATAGAGTGGAGTGGTTACCACAGCGGCGGTGCCAAATGTGCTAACTGGATAAAATGAAATATATGACGCCATTATATTTACTTTCTGGTTAATGGTTTCTGAGTTAATATTTTCACATCGTTCTTTGTCTTGATTAAAATTTGACAGAATTCTTCTAAGTTTTTCGAAGTTGATTTGAAATCTGATGCAATTCTTTTCCATGTTTTTCTTTTCTTGCTCTCAGGTTGTCTACGTAACTGCCATTTTCCCCTACATCATTCTTCTCATCTTCTTCTTCCGTGGAGTCACTCTTCCCGGATACGAAAATGGCCTCTATCACCTGTTTGTTCCCGAGGTAAGACTTACATAAATACCAATAAGAATTCTGTTTGTTTTTTGACTATTTGCAAGGTGTTTTTTTTTTTGTTTTTTTTTAAGCGTTTCGCCCCAAGCAAGGCGGGAAGCCACTAACACGAGAGTTGGAGCGATAGCAAAGAGGAGTGATAGAGGAAAGGATGAAGAGAAGGATTGGGGGATAGATCAAGGCAACTGGAGACGTCGATTGACATTACATTTGAATAGTTGGAGATTATAGCTATCAGGGAAACAGGAAAAGGGGAAGGAATTCCACAGGCTAGAGGTGCGAGATATGAAGCTATTGGAGTAGAAGAAACGCTTACATTTAATAGTTTCGATAGGGGTGAGAGCGAGATGCCAGACTAGTAGAATGCTTGAATTCATGAAGTCTGGGAACCAGCGAAAGCAGCTCATCGAAGCAGTTACCATGAAAGTATTTGTAAAAAAGACAGAGGGAGGCGACGGCACGTCTGTGAGAGAACGACTGCAGACGAGATGCCAGATCAGGGCCAATTACATTGCATATCCGTCTCTGGATTTTATCAAGAGCCTTGAGACAAACAGAAGGGGCTCCAGACCATATATGGCAGCAATACTTCATTCAAGGGCGAATGGTTGATTTGTAGATTTTAAGGATCGACTCCGGCGCTAATATAATTTTATTGCATTTTATTACATCTTCTCTATGCATATTCTGTATCACAGACCTATCATACGTGTGCGTGGCTTAATGGTTATCAGCGAAGAGAAATGAAATCGGCCAGCCGAGTTCAAGTACCAGCCGAGTATTTATTTTGGCACTAATTCTTTTGGAAAAGGCATGGACATATTTCTTCTCCCCACACCAGCTACAGGTTAAATAGTAGTGTAGTCTATTTTTTTTCAGTCTTTTGGTGGCAGTGGTTCTAAGAGAAGGGCTACTTTGAATTCAAAATCCTAAAGTAAGTGATTGGAAACTATTCTGCTACCATTTTCCAAGAGTTCATGAAATTTCGCAGAAGTCTAAAAAATAAAGAAAAAGGAATTCGGGGGATCAACGTTCGTCTACGTCCTGTCACATTGGATTAAAAAAAAAGATCAACCCCTACAGCGAGGCTATCCTAAGAGAGTTGGAGAGTCTACCAGAATTTATTATTGATGGGGACAATTGTAACAATATAAGATACGCAACTGAGACTGTGTTGATGGGTGACACGGAAGGAAAACTAAAGCAACTCCACGGCATGGTAGTCAAAGAAAGGGAGAAGAAAGGACTAACTATCAATTGTAAGAAGACAGAATGTATAGTCGTCAGCAAAAGCAAAAGCCTAACATAAGAAGAATCAGCAATATTATTGGTCCGGATCTGGCATCTCGGCTTCAGTCATTTTCCCACCGCTATAAAGTTGGCTACCTGTGCCTTTTCTATAAATATTTCATGGAGCCTATTCGGATTAGCTCTTCGCAATGGTACCTAGACATTATTTACATTATTCGGACTATTGTCTTTGTCGCCATATTTATCCAGTAGGATTTTTCAATTTGTCTCCATATTTTTGTTATATCGGGTCCGTACTGATCCTTCAGAGTCTGTCTATATTTCTGAGATGAGGTATTATGTAAATTATTTACATTATTCGGACTATTGTCCTCGTCTTTGTCGATAAATATGGCGACAAAGATGAGGACAATAGTCCGAATAATGTAAATAATGTACATAATACCTCATCTCAGAAATATAGACCGGTACCTAGACCTTTTGAAATTTAGGGCAGTACTAGACTAATGACGAGTTTCACCAATTTGCAGTTGATTTGGCTAGATGTAGCCGCAAGTTCTATGCTAACAGTTTCTTTTCTCGCTTGTGGAACTATCTTACGACTCTACGCTTTTCAGACAACTTTGTCCTTATTATGCCAATCTTGGGAGCTGGAAAGCCTACCAGAATTTGGAGGGTGCAATCTTTATCAATATAAGGCACTCAGATGGCGGTGTTGATGGCAGACACAGAAAGAAGACAACAGTACGTTCTAGACAAGGTAGTAAAGGAAAGCGAGAAGAAAGGACTAAACATCAATTGTAAGAAAATAGGACATATAGTTGCCAACAAGAAAAAAGTCCCAATAGGTGAACAACAGATTGGAAATATCAAAATGAAACAAGCACAGAGATTTAAACACCTGAGAAGTGTTTTAACAGATGGAAAATAGGACACCAAAATCCAAACACACATTGAAATAGTGAAAGATGCCTTCCAAAAGCTAAGCAAAGTAATTACAGACAGGAATGTTTCGTCGGAGACAAAGAAAAGAGTCTTGAACTGTTATGTTATATCACTTCTCCTATTTAAACTATTTACGTCGTTTATGTAATTATTGTTGTCCTCATCTTTATTGCCATATTCAAGACGTTTCGGCGATTGAACGCTCCTACCTTCTTCAGAGGATATACGTTGGAATTTCGAACCGGATGTAAATTATTCTAATTACATATATTATACCTTTTTGAACATCCAAAGTATTTCACCTGAAGAAGACCATAGCGTACAACGACCGAAACATGGTGAATATGGCAATAACAATGAGAACAACAGTTCGAACGATGTAAATAGTGTAACTAGTTACAATACCTCATCTCAGAAATATAGACAGATACTGAAGAAGGCCGTAGCGTAAAACGGCAGAAACGTCGTGAATATGATAATAAAAATGAGGGCAACAGTCCGAATGATGTAAATAATGCAAATAATTACCATACCTCATCTCAGAAATATAGACAGATCCTGAAGAAGGTCAGAGCGTACAACGGCCGAAACGTCATGAGTATGATGATAAAGATGAGAGCAACAGAACGAATGATGTAAATGGTGTTAATAGTTAAAACACCTCATCTCAGAAATATAAACAAAAGATCAATCCTCCAATATGGCGGTGAATGCTAGAAAATTTCCTCACGGATGAAGAGAAACTGGAGGCAACAGAAATATGGTGCTACAGAAGGATGTTGGGAATACCATGCACGAAACATCTAAGCAACGGAGAAATTTTAAAGGGAAATGGCAACAAAAGCGATACTTATACTCAGAATCAGAAAGAGATAATTGAAATTACTTAGACACAAAACGGGAAAAGAGAGCTTAGAAATAGTGATGCTCGGAGGATATATCGAAGGCAAAATGAACCAGAAAAGTTACTGGACCACCTATCAAACCTGCTTTGTCATTTTGAGTGTCATTTTGCGTGTCATTTTGAGTGTCATTTTGTGTCTCTATTTGAGTGTCATTTTGAGTGTCATTTTGTGTCATTTTGCGTGTCATTTTGAGTGTCATTTTTGTGTCTCAATTTGAGTGTCATTTTGCGTGTCATTTTGAGTGTCATTTTGTGTCTCCATTCGAGTGTCATTTTGTGTGTCATTTTGTGTGTCATTTTGCGTGTCATTTTGAGTGTCATTTTTGTGTCTCTATTTGAGTGTCATTTTGCGTGTCATTTTGAGTGTCATTTTGTGTCTCCATTTGAGTGCCCTTTTGTGTGTCATTTTTTGTGTCATTTTGCGTGTCATTTTGCGTGTCATTTTGTGTCTCTATTTGAGTGCCATTTTGTGTGTCATTTTGTGTGTCATTTTGCGGGTCATTTTGAGTGTCATTTTGTGTCTCAATTTGAGTGTCATTTTTGTGTCATTTTGAGTGTCATTTTGTGTCTCCATTCGAGTGTCATTTTGTGTGTCATTTTGCATGTCATTTTTGTGTCTCAATTTGAGTGTCATTTTGCGTGTCATTTTGTGTCTCCATTTGAGTGTCATTTTGAGTGTCATTTTGTGTGTCATTTTTTCTGTCGCATCAATAATTTGTAGCATTTAATTCTTCAATTGCCCGACTTTTTCATTAGATTTGCCTTCATTTCGGTGAGTGTAAAAGGTTTTCAAACATATTTTTAAATTTAAAAGAATCACATTCTTACAAGAATATTTTTTTTATATTTACAACATTTTAAAAACTAATAGAATTAAAGCTGAGAAAATATTCGTGTCTGTACGATGGTTAGAATAGGAATAAAATATAAACATATGATGAGAGATATACTGTAGTGACTACTCCGATTTACCACGCCCACAAAATACTTAGTTATAATTGGATAGAAAATAAGTACTGTTTACTACAGAACAATTTACCTATCGCAGTAACCACACAAAATTTTCTGCCTAACCTGGTTTTGTAAAAAAATCAGTGATTGGTCAATTATTATCCAATCGTGTATTTTAGATATTCCTTTCGATATTTTTCCCGCTTCTCTCTGGAGCTTACCCCAAAAGTATTTAAACAGTTCGTACGCCAGAAAATAGTTAGTAGAACAATAAATCAGCAGAAGTCAGCAACGTACGCGTATCTACATTCTTCTACTCACGCACACACAGACACAGAACTACCATTACACTACACTGTTAACTGTCTGTCACAAGCAAAGTCACAAACCAAATTCTATTATCCTTTTTGTACGAACATTTCATTCTTGAATTCAAATCTTATTCACTGAACTCTGAACATTTCAACAAGAAAGTTCTTAAGTACATTATTCCTATCTTACATCAGATATCAGTAAAAGGGAAGCTACTTTTCTCTCCCTAAATATTAATACATAAGCACAATTGTTGTATTCGTTGATTTTCAATATATATTTTATTGTTGAATGCAATTTGATCTCTTGTTCTTCTTTCCTTGTGTTCTTTGCAAATTTAAATGTATGTGCTCTCACTAAAAACGCAGTCTCACTAACAACCCCATTAACAATTTTAAAACAAATCTGAGCAACACACCCCACTACTTTCTGAAAAATTGTTTTAATAGAAATATTTTATAAATGTCAACAGAAGGTAAAACTGATTGTTTGGTCAATGAATGCCGAATGTCCCCTTATAAGGAAACTATTAATATTAGCAATACCATTACCATTTTGGCAAACATGGACAAAGGTGCCTGCAATCACATATAGTGACAAAAGGAGTTTTCCCATAACAACATTTTTTTAAACTATCTTCACTCTTCGGCAGTGTTTATTGTTTGAAAAAACAAAAATTAGAATCGGAATAAATACTAAACACTTGATGAAAGTGAATTTATAATTTTATATTTATAACATTCTAAAAACTAATACAATTAAAATTAATGCAATATTTATAATTTACCAATTTATGAAGAAATAAATGTGAAAACAATTTTTGGTTCATATCTTTATAAACATCTACTAAATTATTAAAACATGTGAACCAGGAGTGAATGTCGTTAAATCTGTGAATGAATATAAGTATGTGAAGATGGCTAAAACAATGGCGGTGTCAATGGGAAAAATCGTCCTTTTGACACTCCGTATTTAGGGGCAATGAAGATCCATGTTTTAAAAATCTGTCGGAGAATTCTTGAGAATTTACAACAAAAATAATAAGCCCTACTTATTTATTAGATTGATAATTTACAAGAATAATTTTATATTTTCAATATTATAAAAACTAATAGAATTAAAACTAAGAATTTTTTTTTCAATGTTTGGTTTGGTTTATTTTATTTAATGGCATATCACTCTCAATGGGTTATTTAATGCCGACAAAATTGTTTAGGATAGATTCGTATGAATAGAATATGTATTCTTTGGTTTAGATTGGTTTGGTTTATTTTGTTTTACTGCATATCAACCTCAATGAGTTATTTAATGCCAACAACATTTTTAGGATAGATTCGTATGAATAGAATATTTATTCTTTGGTTTAGATTGGTTTGGATTATTTTGTTTTACGGCATATCAACTTCAATGGGTTATTTAATGCCGACAACATTTTTAGGATATATTCCTATGAATAGAATATGTATTCTTTGGTTTAGATTGGTTTGGTTTAGATTGGTTTGGTTTATTTTGTTTTACGGCATATCAACTTTAATGGGTTATTTAATGCTGACAAAAAACCTTTATTACTGGTAATATTTTGTTTTGGCAAAAATCTGTTTCTAGTAATATATTTCCTTCAAAATTGTATTGCTGGTAATAATTTATTTCAAAAAAGTATTGTTGGTAATAGTTAACTATTTGCCCATAGCTGGAACCCTAACAGGTGCTACCACTCCGGGTCAGGGTGGACCTGGGAACACCAGCAATTAAGAGTTGGTTCCACGCTCCTCAAAACCTCCTGATCAATGGTCTTGCTGTTGGACGTAGTTTAACGTCTTACCCAGGACGCGGATGTATTTTAACGTCTTACCCAGAACGTTAGGCAATGTGGCTTTGTGCCTGTAAAAAATATGTTGTGTCAAAAGAATGGCTATTTCTTTGTCAAGAGCTATTACTGTATTCCCGTTTGATTCACTTGGCAATGTTTATTCTTTTAAAAAAGCGATGGTTAGAATTTTAATGAAACCCAAACATATGAAAGCGGATTTACACATTTTCTTTATTTACACTATTTATATTTGGACTACTGTCCACATATTTGTTGTTTTTATCACAACATTTTGGTTATTATGCCTTCTAGTCTTCCTCAGATATATATATATTGATCTGGGTAACCTACAGATGAAAATGAATTTTAACCTTTTTTTTGTTGTTTATTTTCAAGAATAATTTTATATTTAAAACATTATAAAAACTAACAGAATTAGAGCTAATGCAATGCAATATTTATAATTTATTAATTTATAAAGAAATAAATGTGAACATTTTTTATTCAGAAATTTACAAACATTTACGAAATTATTAATATATGGGAAAGAACTATAAAATCCTTATTTACTATTTTATAAAGTTCAAACCAAATGGCAATTAGTAAATGTTTTGCCAATCATTCCAATAAACAACATAACAGTGTAAATAAACACAATAATAAATAGTAAATTATTTACATTATTCGGACTATTGTCCTCATCTTTGTCGCCATATTTATTACAACGTTTCAGCCGTTGTACGCTTTGGCCTTTTTCAGGTGGTTAGAATGTCGAACTGAACCCTTTATTTCGCTCACTGGGGTAGACTGTTATAGTTCCACGTGCCATGTTTGATGGATGTCACTTATCAGTTATCTCCTGTTAATTTTCCCTCTGAAAGTTCTCCACTGCCTAACCGGGTATTGAACTCACACCCTTTGGTTTCTGTCACTGGATCTAACCAACGCCTGTATCCACTCCGCCATGTGTCCTTGAGGACAGTCTACCCCAGTGAACGAAATAAAGGGTTTAGTTCAACATTCCAACCTTCTGAAGAAGGCCGGAGCGTACAATGACCGAAACGTTGTAATAAATATGGCGACAAAGATGAGGCCAATAGTACGAATAATGTTACATAATACCTCATCTCAGAAATATAGACAGGTATAATAAATAGTGCTTATTATTTTTGTTGTCAATTCTCAAGGACAAAAAAATGTATAAATTCACATTCATATGTTTGGATTTTATTACAATGCTATTACTCACTTTTTAAAACAATATAAATTGCCGAGGAGTGAAGGTAGTTAAAATAATAGCGGTGTCAATGAAAAAAAAAAGTCCTTTTGACATTCCGTTTTTTGCGAGCATTAAGGACCAAGTTTGCCCATATCTTTTTAGATTAATAAAAAATACAAATTTTTAATTCATCCTCATCGTTATAAATATATGAGATTATAGTTTTAAAATGTTTTTCATATAACCCTTTTATCTCAGCTTTTTTTTTAATTCTTTTTTCTGGATTCCAGTTTTCCCGCCTTTCCGATCCGCAAGTGTGGGTAGATGCCGCTAGCCAGATCTTCTATTCGCTGGGACTAGGTTTTGGCAGTTTGATTGCTCTCTCCTCTTATAATCCACCCAGAAACAACTGTCATCGGGACGCCATTTTGATTGCTCTGACCAATTGTTGCACTTCGCTTTTTGCTGGCATTGTTGTCTTTAGCATTCTAGGTAAGTTCTCATTCCCTCCTCTTCTCTCTTTTTATTCCTTTCTTTCTTATTCTCTTTTACTATTCCTCACTCACTCGCCCACTCCCTCTCTTATCGTCTTCCATTTCTCTTACTCGATCGCTTAAACACTCTTCCTCCCTCTTTTCTTTCTGTTTTCTCATTCTCTCAAACACTATTTCCGTCATTCTCTACTTCACTGTCTATTTCCCGCTCAAATGAACATTCCCCCGTTTCCCTCTTTCTCTCTCTCTCTCGGTTCTTTCTCTTTTTCTTTGACTTTTTCTGTTCCTGTTTCTCTCTCAATCGATCACTCTCGCTTTCTCTTTTTGTCTTCTTTTTTCTCATCTCTCTCACTCGATTGCTTTCACGCTCTTTCTTCTCTGTTTTCCGTTTCTCTCTCACTCCCCCCCCTCTCTCTCTCTATCGCTTTTTCTCTCTTTTTTCTGTGTATTTTCTCTTTATCCTTTCACAAACTTTTTCTTTTTTCTTTCTTTCTCTCACTATCTTTCTCTACTCGCATCCTCTTGTTTTCTCTCTATTTCCCGTCTTTCTTTTACAATCTCTCTCTTTCTTTCTGTACTCATTTTTTTTTTTTTTGCTCTTTTTGTGTTCTTCCATCTTTTATGGATTTAACTTTTGGGTTGACACATTTTTTATCCAAGCCTCCAATTTATAGAAATAAAATGTTGAATATCAATGAGTTGAAGATCTGCTGGAAAAAAGAGCCTTACACAACATGCATTTTTACTTTGTTTGCAATAACGATCCGTGAGGTGAGAGGTTACAATATCCACAGGACGTAGCAGCTGCTTTAAATGTCGAGGAAACTGATCAAAGTGCATCAGAAATAAGTCGATAAAACCTAACCAAAATTAAGACAATAAAAAGACGATAGTTAATAATTGTATATATCCTACATCTAATAACCTTACATACGTTAACATCCAACTTCTATTAATGTTAAAATTCTGTCTTACACAATTTTACAGTCTTCATCTAATAATATTAAAATTCAATATTTCAATGTTTCACACCCATCAACTAATAATATTAAAATTCAATCTTACACTCATCATCTAATAACATTAAAGTTCAATATTTCAGTGTTACACACCCATCATCTAATATTAAAATGCAAGCTGACACCCTTTCACTCTCTTCATCTTCTAATATTAATTAGAATATTCAATCTTACAACATTTTACAATCTTCATCTAATAATATTACAATTCAATCTGACACCTTTTACATTTTTCATCTAATAATATTAAAATTCAATATTGCCGCAAATACTACCCGTGTAAATAAAAGAAAGTAACTTGAAGAAGATAGAAATACTACCCAATAATGGCTGACAATGCTTTATTTATTTGCATTGTGTATATGTGGACTGTTTTCCCCATCTTTGTTGTTTTTATCACAATTTTCAGTTGCTGTTCCTACTGACCTTAATCAGGTGTTTAACAACACAGTAATCTACTTTCTAACTTAGTTGTTGACTCCAGAGTTAAGGTTAACATGTCTCGGATCCAAATCCATTGCCTTCTCTCACTATTTCCATACGATCACCGAAGTTAAGCAATACAGAGCCTAATCACTACCGAGATGAGTTACCATTTGGGAATACCAGGTAATATAAGTGTGGATGTGTGAATGGCGTAATAGTTAATGACTCAAAATTTTTAATTGGACAGCCGAGTTCCAATTCCGTTTGGTTTCGTTATGTTCAGTCACGCGCAAATTACACTTGCGAAGGTATGAATCCACCCCTTCTCCCCCACTTATGGATTAATTAGTAAGAATTGTATTATTAATCCTTATTTTCTCAAAAAAAAAAAAAAAAAAAAAAAATTTCTTACAATCTAAATCTTTTTGAATTGAAATAATCAACAGATGTTTGATAAGCGGGAGAAAAAGAATCAATCAAACCAGCGCCCCTTCTAACTCCCTCTTGGGGCAAACTTCTCCCTCATTCATTGTGTCTTCAGGGTTGTAGCTATCCAGATTGGTGAGGTTATTTTACTTAGAGTTGGAGGTTTTCAAACCAGAGATTTCCTTCTCCTTGACACGATTTACCTTGTAGCCAAGATGAGAAGATTTATACTTTTCTCCAAGGGTATTTGCACGTAGGTGAATGTAACTCAACTGGAATTTGTACTCAGCTCTCCGACTCCTCAATCCGAACTGCTATCCATTCATTTATTTATTCTACGGAGGGAGACATCAGATTCAATTGCTTATGTCTAGGGGCATCTCTCTACAACTGTTATTGCTCTCCCTATTTGCACTGAGTCCAAGTACACACTGCCCAACCCAGGGATTGAACTCATAATTACTTTGCCATGAAATTCAATAACCAATGCTTTAATCCAGTAGTGAATTGCCCTGTGGGACAATTCTCTGTGGGGAAATTGGAAATTTAAACAACAAAGATGACGACAATAGTCCACATGCAAATAATGTAAATAATAACTCCTAATTCTAGAAATTCACACAGGATAATAAATATTGGTTTGGCTTGGTTTGTTTTACGGTATATCAACCTCTCTGGGCTATTTAATGCTGGAATCTAAACATTTTGTACTCAGTTTTATGCCTTCAGATATTTTGTTTGGTTTGGTTTATTTTACGGCGTATCAACCTCAATGGGTTATTTAATAACGAAAAGATTTTTATTGTTGGTAATATATTTTTCCAAAAATCTATTACTGGCAATATTTCTTTTTTCCAAAATGTATTGCTGTTAATATTTTTTCCAAAAAATGTATTGCTGCTTATATTTCATATTTCAAAAATGTATTGCTGGTAATATTTTTTTCCAAAAACATATTTCTGGTAATATATTTTTTCAAAAATGTAATGCTGGTAACATTTTTTTTCCAGAAAAGTATTGCTGATAATAATTTTTAACAAAAATGTATTGCTGGTATTAAAACCTATTTTTTTACACGTTTTGACCCCAGTTTCAGGGTTAACTATTTGCCCATAGCTGGGACCCTAGCAGGTGCTACCACCCCAGGTCAGGGTGAACCTGACAACACCAGCAATTAAAAGGTGGTTCCATTCTTTTCAAAATCTCCTGATCAGAGGCTTTACTGTTGGATGTAGTTTATCGTCTTACCCAGGACACGAATGTAGTTTATCATCATACCTAAGACGGAATGATTAATAAGCAAGGTACTAAACTACTATTACCGATACTATTACTTCTTCTAAGCACCGTCTTCCTTCAGGATGTTGGGGATTATGGCTCTCCGCATTTTCCTGTCCTCTGTAGCTCTTAGTAAATTTTGTCTTTTCACTATCTCTCCTAAACCTTGCTCAGTCATCCATTCGCAATGGGTTTCGTTATATTCACTTACCCACCTCTTTCTCCCCCCACCTATGGGTTAATTAGTAAAACTTGTATCATTAACCATTATTTTCTAAAATAGCTATGTTATGTGTTATTTTCCTCTGACCGTCTTTTCATCAATCCGTCATGCTAGTATCAAATTTTACAAGCCTTCTTTCATCATTATGCGTCTAATAATTGTTAACTGTCTCTTCCTGATGTTTAGTATCAGTGTCCTTTTTTTATTTTATGTGAAACAGAAAAAAATGACATCAAATATGACACTGTCAAGAGATCACGGAAAAGAAGAAAAAGATTTATACTGTTCGATTTGTTGTTCTACAGTCGTCGACTCAGAGTGGTCAAACAGTCGAGTAACTTCTGTAGAGAGGAAAATGGATTCGAATTTGCGTGTCGTTTCGACTTTATTCTTTATTTGAAAATCCGCGCTCTTTACTGATAATGGTCTGCATAGTTATGTTGAAAAGTAACAGAAATTGAAAGAAAGCTTATGTATAAAGTACAATGTCTGTTTTTGAGTGTGTGTGTCCCAGGAAAAACCCCTCCGCTCCCACTGGTCCAATTTCAATGATTCATAGCTCATTCAAAAGCCCCAGAAAAGTTAGGCGCAGGGAACGATTTTCGTTGAGCTCAGATTCAGAGTTGCCAGATTATGCGAGGTTAAAAGTATATATTAATATATTATACTAGCCATTTTCGCTGCCTTCATGGTTCAACGGGAGTAACTCTTATTTTCTATTTGTATCCAAAATTTCTGTGAACGTTTTATTATAAACTAGCTTAAAAGCCGTCCTATCGGCTGGCATTTAAGCTAGTTGCTGTGGAGGACTCTTGGTTTGGTCAATCACAGTAGCTAGGGGGGAGTTGATGCGATAGGCATCAATAAATTACAGAACTCATAATTGATCGCTGCATTTAAGTATTGAATTAATGTTTAAGCTTACCATTTAAAAGTTCAATGATAATTCTTCTGCCACTTAATTTAAAGTCGATTTGATGTACGTAGATCCTTACTTTCCATACAAACAATTATTTTTATTTCATGGGTGACAGAACAGGGGACAATTTATAAGATAAAATTAATATAGTGTAAAGATGGGAAAATAGAAATTAGAATTAGTTGTACATTCAATATTTGAAGAGTTAGAGAAACATAATAGCTAATTAAGTAAAACCTATATTATGGAATCTATATGAATAAATGCGAAATTGGAGTACAATTCTCCCACGAATTCTGAGATTAAAAAGCCCAGCTTTACTTTATAGTAATTTACACACGGTATTTACTCTGTCCCCCCCCCCTAGGACGAGATGTGACACAAGGTCTATTTTTAGGTGGGGACCCGAGCACGTACACCCGGGACAGGAACAAAAATTCCCCTCAGTCCCGCAACCGTCGGATGGCTGGCCTCAATGCGAGCACCGATCTCTCCCTCTTGTGCAATGGGAGGGCGCGGCCTCGGGCAGCTGTTCCCCAGGGCTGGGCACCTCTCAGTATAATTTTCCTCAGTTGCGACTCTGTCCTTTGACGGAGTCGCCCCTGAGAGCATTCTGCCCAAAGACAGAAACGCAACTGAGAGATGATAAGTAGATGTGTACCTACTGAAAAAGAGTAATTTACACGGTATTTACTTGAACCCCCCACGAGGTCAGTTTGTGACACAAGGTCGGTTTAATGTGGGGACCCCGAGCTCGTGCACCCGGGCAAGGAACAAAAATTCCCCGAGCCCCAGCAACCATCGTTTGCGCTGGCCTCGGTGCTTCTCTCTAGTGCAATGAGAAGGCGCGGTGTCGGGCAGCTGTTCCCCAGGGCCAGGCACCTCTCACTATAATTTTCGCAGTTGCGACTCTGTCCTTTAACAGAGTCGCCCTGTGCGCACTCTGTCCAAGGACAGAGACGCAACTGAGATGGTACGAATTACTTATAGTAATTTACACCCTAAAAGCTCAATATCGGTATTATATATTATCTACTTCTAAGCAATATTACTCTTCAGTTTTAACTAATTTAGATATTGATTTTAAAAAAAATTACTTCATTAATTAACTGCCCTTCATTACTGTTCTTTATTTGAGGTTTGTTTTGATTTTCATATCAAAAATAGTTCTGTTTAGGAATATCGTCTTATATAGTGCAGGAAAATGTTTGAAATTTGCATTTCACTTGGCCTTCAACAAGTTGGCATCTATTTGTAAAACGTTCCTTAATTATAACAAGCCAATTTGGGAATGAAATCTTCATCTAAAATTTTTTTTTTCGAAGATTTCAAGTAGTGAATATATCTTACTTTGCGAAGCGATAGTGAGCGGGCGAAGCCTTCTAGTTGTAAATAAAACTGTAACATGCTTGTCATCCAGACGTCGAGTAGATACACCAGACGACATGAAGAGACTGACCAATCTATATGTTTATGCTCCTTGTGGACAAAACTAAGGATGTTACTTAGTAAGTGAAAACTTGAATAAAACTAGCTGCCCGAAGTATTTGTGTCTGAAAATTTCGAGCAATATAAACTTTAAATAAGAGGTCTAGAAGTTTGGGAGGGAAAATGAGGAAATTTTTTTGAAGAACGCCCTACAAAGCTGATCCAGTGTCCTTGTTATTGTGAATTAAAACAATAAAGAAGACTCAGAGACTCCATTTTCCCGGTCGGAAAATATAGTGACTTCCTTCTTTATGAGGAAAATTAGCTACCGCAAACTGTTTCTATGACACTATTTTTTAATCATTTTATAACCTTCATCATCATCACCCGTCCAGTGACTGGGTGTGGTCGTATGGTCAGTGATTAGCTGAGCAGCTGCCTTCATATGCCTCGGTTGCATACCACTGTCTGGGTCACTTCTTCTTTTATTTAAAGTGATACCTTAGCAGTGGGAAGACTGTTGGATCTTATGGTGTGTCTATACCGTTTCAACTTTCTCTTCTTGATGGTAGATATGAGATCTTCCAGTGGATCTGTTTCCTCTTTGATGGTATCTCACCCTCCATATTTATCCTGCATTCTACGTAGGTAATGCGTAGGAGATGTTCTGAAACATCTCATTTATAACGCTTCAATTATTCGCTGTAATTCTGCTTTTAATGTCCAAGACTCGCAGACGTAAAGATTGGTTACCAATGTGGTTGCTAATGAGTCCATTTTGCTGCTGTGTTTTGAACCCAGCCTGAAGGACAGGTGAAGGCATACTTATTATTAACTCACCTCCCCATGGCGGTAGGATGTGGCACAAGACGGGTTTGAGGTGCCGCGCCCATACACGCTCATATTCGATAAGGTTCAAATTGGCATTTGATCTTAAAAAAAGATCTACAATCTGTTGTTAACTGGGGCAAAGAATGACTTGTTAATGCTAATGCCTCTAAAATTAAACTGCTACCTATTATTCGTCCCAGAGAACCCTTTGTGTCTTCCATCTGTATGGCTGATGCTAACCTCCAGGAGAGTGCCTCGTTGTGTCTTCTAGGGCGCTAACGTTTTTCATTGACATGAAGCGGAAAGATTATATTGAATCAACTGTTAGTTCTGCTGCTGCGAAAGTGTGTTAAAAAAATTTAGAGACAATTTTTCTCGTCTGAATCTATGTTAAATATTTATATGTCTACCATTTTTCCATGCTTGGAATATTGCTGCCACAACTGGTCTGGTGCTCCTGTTACATATTTACAGATTCTTGATAAAATCTAAAGAAGAATCTGCAATATTATTGGCCCTGACCTGGCATCTCGGTTTCAGTCACTTTCCCATCGCCGTAACGTAGCTTCCCTCTGATCTTTCTATAAATACTTTCATACTAATTGTTCTTATGAACTTTCCTCTATGTTATCTAGACGTTATTAGTACTAGATTGGCGGAAAGGTCCCATCATTTTACATTTGGAGTAACTAGATGTAACCGTAAGTTCTACCCTAATAGTTCCTTCTCTCAGACTTCTCGTTTGTGAAACTCTTTTCCGGCTTCTTGCTTTCCGGTCAACTTTGATCTTCAAAAATTTAAATGCAATGTCAATCGTTATCTTTTGTGGTCTTTATTCCCGTTCTTTTATTGTTCTCTTAATGGTGTTTTCTACCCGTACTCCTCGCTTGGTTAACTATCTTCCGACGTCCTGCTTGCCAGTCAACTTCGATCTTCAAAAGTTTAAATGCAATGTCAATCGTTATTTATTTTCAAAGCATTAATTTATTAACCGGAAGAATGCGCAATCCTTTCATCCAGAAGCCATTCTTTTGTCATTTGGTGTTTATTTCTGTCTTCGCTCCACAGACATTTTTTCAACTCTTGTCCTAAAGTGTTTGGATAATCGAGTAAGATAAAATAGCCTAGCTAGTTAATAGATTTCTAGTTACTTTAATAGTTACTTTAATAGTTACTAGTTCCCCTTCTGGACGACAAACATATATCTGTTTCTTCTCTCGCACTTCTCGTTTGTGGAACTATCTTCCTGCTTTCCAGTCGACTTTGATCTTCAGAAAAGTAAATGCAATGTCAACCGTTATTTTGGGGTTTCTAAGTTTCTGTTCATTTATTGTTTTCTTTCCTTAATAGTTTTATTTTCTCATATTCATACTCACACTCGGTACCCCTTGCGTCTTAGTAGCTTTTTTGCTTTGCTTGGGGTGAAATGGTTTAAAAAAAAAAACAAATAACAAAAACATTTGGCTTGTAAAAAATTACCCAGCCCTCGCGATCACTGTTACACTGGTGTTTGTATCAACCAGTTCTCCATGAACAAAGTGCCGTCGTGAGATTTGAATTCCAAGGGCTAGAGCTCACTCATAACTTTAAGTGTAACAGAAAACATATACGATGCTTTGATTCCAGGTCGAACGCCGGATTTATTTATGCAAGGGGCAAGATATGACACAAGGTTGTTTCTAACATAGGATTTCCTTCAGGCAATTCAAAATTTGCTAGGACCTTGCGATCATTATCACGATGGCGTGGGTATTCCACCGACCCTATTTTAGTGCGATGAGGAAGGTACCGTCGCTGTGTAGGAACCCCTGGGACTAGGAATCCCTCAAAGCTCTCTCCATGAACCGTCCGAAGATAGAAACACGACAGAAAGTTGAAGAATAGATACTAGACACTTGTTATTTACTCATCCTCTCCAACTGTGACGCAATATAGCCCCAGGCCGATTTCAAAACTCAAGCGCGTGCATATAGGTTAAAGCCTAAAACTGAAGAGTCCCCACGTCGATATTCCAACAACCGTCCCTCTTTGGTGCAATGGGAGAGGTACTGCCGCAGTTTTGAAATCTCCGGGCCCAGGCATACCTCTGATTTTTTTTTGCGCTCATTCGGACGGCAGAAACACAAATAAGAGATAAATACAGTTTGTCCATCGGTGGGCTGATATTAGTAGGATTGGTAGTATGTGACACAAGGGAGGTTTAATGTGAGAGCCCAAGCGCATGCACTCAAGCCAGATCCAAAAATAACCCAGCACCCCCACTAACTCTGTCCGCTCTGTCCGAAGACAGCGACACAACTGAGAATGATAAATGAGATGCGATTGGTTTTACTACCAACCCCTCTTCGATAGACGAATGAGGGAAGTACACCCGCGGGCAGCTGTTCCCCGGAACCGAACAACTCTCAATAATATTTTCAGTTGCGCTGAAGACATAATTGAGATATAAAATCCAGTTTATCCGCCCGAGGGCAGATTCCACACTCTGATGTCGGTCAAAGAGCCGGGCAAAGGCTTGTGTTATAATAAATACCTACCTATGGAATCGATTAATTTCTTTGCATATATTCCCAAGCTGTAAACATTGACTTAGTTTTTAATTGCTTGTTTTATTTTTCATTCATGTCAATTTTTATTTATTTTCATTTTTTTAATTGATATTTATTTTTGTTACTGTTTTTATGACAGGTTTCAAGGCCACAAAACGGTTGGAGGTTTGCCAAAAGATTCGATCTCTGGAGTTGATGGCATTGTTTAACGACACAGAAATTAACCCGCCCCCGGCCGGAACTCTTGTGAATATAACCTCGGCACTTGGAGAGATCACTTCCGTTGTGATGCCCAACATTACGACGTGCAGTTTTAAAGAAGAGATCAAAAAGGTCTGTTCTAACAGTCGAAATTCTTAACTTTCAAATAAACGACCAGCTGACTGATTGCACACAGATATTTACTGGATCGGTTCATCTCTGGTACAAGGCAAGATTTCTCGGGTTCTTGATGAAACTTATATTTATTATCAAGGTCTTGGAAGCCCAGTATATACTTTAAGTACTTAACGTATTTGCAAAAGTCTTTTAAAGAGAAAGTGTCGCTTTTAAATAGCATTGCGAACTGAATTCTCTTGCGCTGCTTGGAAGGCAGTCTACAAGAAGGAAAAATTTTAATTACCCCCCCCACCACACTATCGTGTGAATATCTTTTATTTTTTTAACGAAATTTTCACACAAGGCTCAAGGGCCACTCAAAGTAGAGTGTTATTTAATGAGGTTCTATAGACGTGGAAGGGGTAAGTAATTTCTTATTATAATGGTAGTTTCGGTAGGTAATGGTTGACCTTAGACGTGAAGAGGTTAAGATTGTAGTGTTCGGGGAAGCATCCTCTTGGGAGTCTGTTCCATAAAATATGGAGAAGAATATGTTCGAATGGAATTTTCTTCTTTCTCATGGAATACAAAAGGAGTCATGATGGTTCGATCGTGTCAGATTAAGCAATGGCTAAGGATTAAGGCCAGCATAAATCCGGATTGGGACCCAGAAAAACCAAGATGGATGGTGTGATGCCTCACTTTCCGGCAAATCTTGTAGCTATGCCAGTACCAAACTGCATTGGTTTATCCTTTCCTTTGAACCCTAAATGCAATAACGATAGGGAGATCTTAACGTATTGCTTCTACTCAGGTCATATATGTCTTTGTGCTCCTAAAACGGATGGGTGACAACTAAAAGCCCAACTAATTTACTACTATTCCATCATTTGCGTACACGACCGATAACAAACAGAAAATCTATATAGAAAATGAATGATAACAAATAGAAAATCTTTTCGAACTCATAACGCTTATAATAGTTTTATCGAAAGAAAGGGTGGGAAACCGAAGCAGAGAACGACCTACCTGAGAGGTGTCTGGGTAAATAAATGACAGGAGATTGCGTGGAACGGACAGTAAATAGACAAACATTGTTAAGAGATACAAATGATAGAAAGTCGTAGACAGCTGCGATCGCCCATATTCTGAAGGAATTCCGTAGAAAGAAGGAATAACTCATGGCCAATTTCATTTCATTTTAGTATCAGTTAATCGTTAGAAACAAAGACAAGAGTTCAAAACTGCTATAAATATCAATCCCTCGCTATCATACCGCATGCTGGACAATTTCTTTGCATATGATTTATGGGATTCTTGATAAAATCCAAAAACGAATCTGCAATGATATCAGCCCTGACCTAGCATCTCGGCTTCTCCATTTTCGTCATTTTACTGCTGTAACGTAGCTTCCTTGTGCTTTTCTTATAAATACTTTCATGGTAATTATTCCGATTAACTTTCCTTTATAGTACCTAAAGTTTATGGATTTAAGCGCAGCACTAGATTGGCGGTGAGGTCTCATCATTTTACAGTTGAAATGGTTAGATGTAACCGTTCTAAGTTCACAGTTTCTTCTCTCGCACTTCTTGCTTGTGGAACTCTCTTCTGGCTTCTTGCAAAGTCAATCGTTGTCTTCTGTCTTCTTAATTCCTGTTCTTTCATTATTAATAATGTTTTTCATTTTCTGATATTCTATAACACTCAGTGAACTCCCCTTTTGCGTCTTAGTGGCTTTATTTATCTTGCTTACGTGAAATGATAAAATAAAAACAATTTTAAAAAATACAACAATTTATTACCTGCTTTGAGTGAAAATATTTTTTTTTTTAAATGAAGAGGCGACTTGAGGCAACAAGCATGTTGTTCTACAGAAGGATACTGAGAATACCATGGATTGAACATGTGAGTATAGAGGAATTTTCGCTGCCGTAAAGGACTGTGAAATTAAAGCAGGGGAATAGACTGGAATTAGAACAGGGATCGATGATAATCATTTCCAATATTTCTTCACCGTTACGTTACCTGCATATCTGATTTTTTTACATTAAAACGATTCTTTCGTAGTGAGTTAAAGTCTGCCGAGCTTCCTACCGAATCAAATGCCTTTTCATAGTCAACAAAATCTAAACAAAGTGTTCTTTATGTTCTGTTTGTTTCTTGAATTAATTGATCTATTTGTTATCGTATATAATCTTAATAACATATATCTAGTCATTATTAATATTATTATAATGAAAAGAGTTACAGACTGCTGCGTGTTCACCCGAATCAAATCCCTTTTCATAGTCAATTACTTTCTTTTTATGTACCATGTCCTTTCAGGGCGTAGGCGATCATGGCTCTCCACCTCCCTCTTATCGTATATAATCTTAATAACATATATCTAGTCACCGATAACAAGGGTAAACATGCCCACAATAAGACGGAGTGTCAAAAGGACTGTCGTTCCCATGACACAGCTATTATTTTAACTACCTTCACTCCTCGACAGTATTGTAATAAAACTTAAACATATGTAAGTGAATTTATACATTTTCTTTATACTTAAGAATTCACAACAAAAGTAATAAACACGATTTATTTATTAGATTGTTTGTTTAAACTATTTAGCTATTATATTATTGCAATGTTTACCAAAAAATTGGCTAATTGCAACCGATTCAAACTTTATAAAATGGAAAATAACAAGGATTTTCTTATAGTTGGCTCACATATTTTAATAATTTAGTAAATGATTATAAATTTATAAATAAAAAAATTGTTTTCACATTTATTTCTTTATAAATTGGTAAATGTTAAATATTACATTGCATTTAGTTTTTAGAATGTTGTAAATATAATTTCTTGTAAATAAACAATCTAATAAATAAATAAGGTTTAATATTTTTGTTCCACCCCACCACTACCGCAAATAGTGTAAATTTACTTTCATCATGTATTTAGTTTTACTTCCAATTCTAATCATCGCTTTTTAAAACAATAAACATTGCCGAGATGTAAAGGCAGTTAAATAAAAGCGGTGCCATAGGAAAAAACGTCCTTTTATTACTAAGTCACGTAAGTTTATATTTTCTAAAATATTAATCTTGTTATTTTTCTTTTCCTTTCATCTCCTTAGCTAATCTACAGGATGCCCAATAAAAAAAAAGCGGTTAATTCAGAAAGAAATTTATTTAGCTATCATGATTCATGTACAAACTGAACAATCATCGTAGATTTTCGAAGTGTCTGCCTGAATGTTCAACACAAAGTTGTAAGCGTAGTAACCTGGAAACAGTAGCTTCAGTTAAGTTCCACTTCAATGAATCAATCATGTTAACGCTTTTGCAAGTGAGCTAGGAGTATACTCCAGATACAGTAATCCATAATATTCAGATCTGAACTTTTAGATGGCCACTGAAATGGACCAATCAGAGCTGCTGTATTTTCTCGAAGAAACTTGCCGCTTTTTTACTGGGCACCTTGTAGATAGATAGATAGATAGATAGATAGATAGATAGATAGATATGCTTGTAGGGCATTTACCTGTTTGATGATAATCAATTCTCATCAGGGTTAAAAGCAAGTTTAAGACGTAAATTACTTAACGATGTCTATATTTTAAGTGCCATGTATAAAACGGACCAATGTCTGCCTTTTTGACTGTAGTATTAACTGGACCCGTGGTTGCCTTTTTGACTTTATTATAAATCGGGCTTAACTTTTTCTGAATTTTCCGCATTTCTACTGGTCACCCTGGATAATCGCTCAATTTTTTCGGTAAATACATAAATATTTTTCTTTTCATCTCTTAAGATAATCTACAGTGTGCGCAGTAAAAAAAGCGGTTAATTCAGAAAGAAATTTATAAGTTATCATGATTCATGCACAAACTGAACAATCATCGTAGATATTCGAAATGTTTGCCTGAATGTTCAACACAAAGTTGTAAGCTTAATAACCAGGAGGCAGTAGCTTTGCAGATAGCGTCAAGAGGAATTTCATTCCAAGCTTCAGTTACGTTCTGCTTCAATGAATCAATCACACTGACGCTTTTGCAAGTAAGTTAGGGGTATACTCCAGATACAGTAATCCATAACATTCAGATCTGAACTTTTAGAGGGCTACTGAGATGGACCAATTAGAACTGGTGTATTTCATCGAAGAATAAAACTTCCGCCTTTTTTTACTGGGCACCCTGTAGTATATTTCTAATCCCAGATGTTCGATTTCGATTAATTTCTAAACCTAAATGTTTGATTAAACTTTCGAACAATTACAATTCTTTTCCATATTTTTAACGGAAAACGTTTCTTCTTCTTCTTCTTCTTCTTCTTCTTCTTCTTCTTCTTCTTCTTCTTCTTTGTCCCCCTTGTCCTCTTCCTCTCCTCGCCCTCGTCCTCCTCCTCTCCTTGTCTTCGTCCTTCTTCTTCTTCTTCTTCTTCTTCTTCTTTCTTCTTCTTCTTCTTCTTCTTCTATGTGCCATGTTTCTTCGGAACGTTGGCCATCATGATTCTCCTCAATTTCCTCTCCTTTGTAAGCTGACAATAAATGTTGTCTTTTCACCATCTCTCCCAGGCCCTGCTCCCCAAAGCTCACCAGGTAGTTATGCCTTGTTTTTCTTTTGCATTTGATTTGTCTTGTGAGTATCAAATTTTCCAAACATTCTTTCTTCATTATATGCCCTAAAAGTTTCAACTGTAACTTCATGAGTGTCCTTTTTGTTTCCATTTTCTCCAAAACTTTATCGTTGTTCGGTCCATCTCTGGAACGAAATTTATGTTGACTTCTATGTTCACTTTTATATTTACACACGCTCTATCTCTGATATTGAGCACTTTATTCCATAAATATAGCATATCTTAAGATTATATTTCTATATATATATATATATATATATATATATATATATATATATATATATATATATATATATATATTATGAAATGGACAAAGTCCGACAATTATTTTAAGACATTTTATGTTTAACATTATTTTTATGGATACAAATATTTAAGTAAGTGCTCTGTTTATAATAAACAGTATTAAATAACATTTACCGGCCTGAATGTCCGAGAAATTTTCATAGATTCGAACCTGTATCCTATACATTTGATACACCATGAGCAGACACGAATGTACGTGAGAGATTCATGGATGATTGTAGTTTAAAAGCAGTAAATTCGATCTTGCTAACCGATCGATCTTCTGTGGCGAAATCGGTAAAAGCACGTCAGGCTATATGACGGTTCCGTATATATATATATATGTATGTATGTGTGTGTGTATGTGCTTTACTACGAAGATATCATTCTAAAATAAAATTCGTACGGTGAGGACATTTTAGCCGATGTACATGTTGTTTATCGCTAGAACATAAATAAAAGAATTTTTTTCATATTTTAATTACATTTTCTCTATGTTATTTTTACAATATGTTTTACTATATATATATATATATATATATATATATATATATATATATATATATATATATATATATATATATATGTATATATTTATATATACATATATATATATATATATATATATATATATATATATATATATATATATATATCATTTCAAAATAAAATTTGTACTATGTGGATATTTCTTTTCTTTTAGATAACAAGCCAAAGTAGAATACAAAGATACGTAATTTATTCTTTTGGCAGAAAATGTTTGTCTTCAGATAGCCCTTATTTGATAGCAGGATACCAAAAACTCCCTTCTGCTATATCACATGTTTCTTTTGAAAGACGTGAGCGAGCATAATTCCATGAGTGCTGTTCTTCTTAGCTACATTGGTCCCTTTGTCAAACCTCTCACAACCCTGTATTGCCATCCATTCACACAAGCTAGTAACCCGTAATCTTCCCACTGTTCCTTTTGCCCTTGATATTTCCAATGAGTATCAAATTCTCCAAGCCTCCCTTCTTTATTTTGTACCCAAACTGTTTCAATCTGAGTATATATCTATTTTGTTTACATTTTTCTTAAGACTTCCTCGTTGCATACATGTTTCATACATTCTACAAAATATATGTAAGAAAAAGAGATATTTTTTTTCACTCAAGTTCACCCCAAGCAAGGGATTAAAGCCACTAAGATACAAGGGGCTACTGGGTGGGGAAGAATTAGAAAACAGAAATACCACCAAACAGCGAGTACAGAAGAAGAGTCAAGAGAAAAGTAGATAGCGATTGACAATAGCATTTAAATTTTTGAAGATTAAAGTCGACTGGACAGCATGGAGCCGGAAGGGAGTTCCATGAACGATAAGCGTGAGAAAAGAAACTGTTGGCATAGAACTTGCGGTTCCAATCTATTTAACCTAACTATAAATCGATGACACCTGTTTAGTACTGCGCTTATATTCATAAAGTCTAGGTACCAAGGTCTTACCTGAACAATTACCCTGAAAGTATTTATAGAAAATGTATAGGGTGTGGGACCATAGTCTGTGAATATAGAATACAGCACAATACGTAATCTGTTCAATGAAACAACGTTAAAGATTAACACTCACGAGTCAGACACTCTACTGAATCTGACTATATCGCCAATACCAACAGCAGCTGTTCCGTAATTCTTCAGTCTTCGATATCAAAGGCTGGCAGGGATATTTAGCCACCCCCTCACGAGGGTTACATGTGGCACAAAGCCGGGATTAACGTGGGATGTCCGAGCCTATTCGAACGGGTATAAACGGGTTCAGGGGCAGTCAACCTCCCCGAACGAGACTCTCCCCTTCGGCGAAGCCTCGTCCGGGTTATCAAAGGCTGGCAGTAAATATTCGGGAGAAACATGGCCGCCTTTATACACGTCGCATTGAATATTTTGAGCCTTCTGATTGGTTAACCCTTCTATTGGTGAACTATAAAATGAGTCAGCTCATTTTGGCTGGCTCACTAGTACACCAGGGTACCCAAAAACTTCAACATAGGATGGCAACATTTCGTCGGTGGGGAATAAGTTTGAATATTGCTGATTCTTCTTTGGATTTTATCAAAGATCTCTTGATATATCGCAGTAGCACCAGACCATATGTAGCAGCAATATTCTAAGCATGTAGGATAGATTCTGGAAAGAACAATTGTCTAGCATGACACAGTAAACCAACATTTTCAGCAGCTGTCCTAGCAATTGATTCAATATAGTTTTTCCACTTCATGTCAGCCGAGAACCTTAACCCGAGAAGGTGCAACGAGTCCCTCTCCTAGAGATTAGCATAAGCCACGCTGATGGAAGGCAGAAAGGTCCCTCTCAGTTTAGGTTTGGGGGCGTTAAAATTTACAAGCTATCCTTTGCCCCAGTTAACAACAGACCGAAGTTCGCTTTTGAAATCAGCCGCTAATTTGACCGTATCAGACCGATCCCACATAGTATCGAAACAGGAGTAAATAGTTGTGTTATCAGTATAGATACCAAGTTGAGATCTAATGTCGGCGGGAAGATCGTTAATGAAAATTAAAATGTAGGACTCTGGATAGAGCCAAGGGGGACCCCTGCATTAGTGCAAAAGGATCTAGGCTACGGGCTTGGATGACCCACGTTAAACTCAGCCTTGTGCCACATCTACCATCGTGGGAAACAGTAAATATTGACTAGCTGGAATCTTTTCCAGTTGTGCTTGTCAACCTCTCTGCACCCGGGCAAAAAGGATCCCCAGACGAGGTATGTCGAAGAGCAGAGTCTCGTCTCGGGAAACAGCTACCCGACCCGTTTTATATGGAATCTACGGGGAATTTTTGGCTGAGCCTACGGGCTCGGATGACCACATTAAATTCGGCCCTCTGCTACATCTGATCGCGTGGGGGAGGTTAGTATGGCAGCACTAGCTGGAATCTTTTCCAGCTGTGCTGTTCAAACTCTCTGCATCCGGACAGAGAGGATTCCCAGACGAGGCTATGTCGAAGGGCAGTCTCTCGTCAGGGGTGGTAGACAGCTACCCGACACCGTTTTTACGGGGAATTTTTCCCCGAGCCTACGGCCTCGGTTTTGACCTCGCATTAAATAACATCCTACCACGCGGGGGATGGGATAAGGTAAATATCTTTGCTTCGGTAATTAGTTGGAGATTCGTCACCAGCTGATCTGGTTGAACTCTCTGCCTTCGGCCAGAGAAGAACCCAGATGATGCTATGACGAAGGACAGAGTCTCAACTAGGGTGGTAGACAGCTACCCGACCCGTTTTATACGGAGTCACCAATTTGAGAGGTGATAGGACTTACTATCGAGACAGGGTTAAATGGTTTTGTCATCAGCGTAAATACTAAGTTGAGTGCTGCTTTTCTCTCCTTAGCTAAGCTGTTCCAATTCTAAGCCCAAAAAAGGAAGAGATTCGCTAACACCTTAACCCTTCCAACAACTACAATTCTTTTCCATTTTTTAACAAGAAAACTTGGCTTCTCTAAAACACATATTGAAAATAATCGTTTAAAACAATGAAATCTTTTATTCTTCTTCCACATAAATGAACACCGTTTTAATTTTTGCTTAATATTTGTACTCTTCTAGCAGACTCTTAGAATAATTTATGCATTCCTTGGTTCGTTGTGTTTTGTAGTCAGCGTCCGGTACCGGTTTGACATTCATCGCATTCACAGAAGCCATTAACCAATTCTCTGCCTCGCCTGTGTGGTCTGTTCTTTTCTTCCTGATGTTACTCACTATTGGACTGGACAGTATGTTCGCCACACTTGAAGGGGTCATCACTCCGCTTACGGATTTGGGAATATTCCCCGATGCTCAAAAACATCCTTCGGTTCTTGGAGGTAAGTGAGAGAAGACCCGGTTGTCTTTTAATTCTCAAGAGATAAACAGAAAAGCGGGTATATAGCTTCATTAAAAACTTCTTTTCTTTTCTTTAAGTGATTTTCAGCTTTTCATCCTGGGTATGACGATAAACTACATCCGGCAGCAAGGCCTCCAATCGGGAGTCTGTAGGTTTGATGAAGCATGAAACCATCTCTTAATTGATGTAGTTGCCAGGTCCACCCTGAACTCCGGTGGTAGCACCTGTAAGGATCCCAGCTATGGGCAAATAGTACCGACCAACAAAACACTAATTATGAAATTAAAAATACATTTTAATAGCATAAATACCAGCAATACATTTTTATTAGGTTGGTGCAAAAATAATGACGTAATAATGTCGTTTTTGACGTTAAAAAAATACGTCAAAAAACGACATTATTACGTCATTATTTTTGCACCAACCTAATATATAAAAATGTCCGACAATACAATACAATTTATCTCTAATTGAAGACATACATTTGCGTTCAAAATATATTTAGTTGAAGCCATAAAATTGTGTTCAAATTATATAAATAACCCATAGAGGTTGATATGTCGCTAAACAAAATCAAACACCCAATAAATATTCAGTTTTGCCCTAATTTGTTCAACTCGTTTCGCCATGATTCAGTGACATGTGATTTAAAGTTGGACTGCTTCCAAAAAAGGGGATACTGTGTGTCTTGTGGATTTGGCCGAGCAAACGTTGAATTCAGGCAAGGACTATTCCTCATTTGACTGTTCATTCGATGAAAAGTGTCTGAATTTGACCAATCGAGTATCATCTTCCATCAGGACAATGCCAGATCTCACGTCTCTTTGGATCCCTGGAAGAAATTAGTACGGATTTGTTGACTGGTTGGTTGATTCGCTTACAGCAGCTTATCAATCCTTTGGCGGTTATTCATGGATATGCGGATGGTGCAAGGGATAGTGACTCGGAATGCAAAATCAGAGGGTTGATTTCGATTTTCGGTCGTTTGTTGCGTTACAGCTCAGACCAGACACTAGGTTCGTTGACAGGGTGCAGTTTCCTTCAAACAAACGCGTGTGGCTTAAAAATTACCCTTCGGCCTGATCGTTACCCACAAGTGAAGAACAAATAATTTCTAGTATTAAATGAGATTCTTGGGTAGTAACTTACTGCTATAAGTGAGCGAAGTCGAGTTAAGGCTGTTTGCGGTAAGTTTTATAGACAACAGTTTTCTTTGTCTTGTCATCTTCGTCTAAAAAGTAATTAATCTTCCTTCTGCCACCTTATCTCAGTCTGAGCCTCTTGCTCTTGTACTTTGAAGTTGACTTCATTTACTGATAACCATCGGTCGAAAGTAAATGTTTCGTATCGAGATGTGCGACAGGTCCCGCTGTTTTAAATTTAACATGATCTCAGCTTCAGTCATATTTCTACACGTGTTCCTTATATTCACTTACGCGAAATTAGCCTTACAATTTATGAGTTAAAGCGGGCTACGTTCTCGAGTTTAGGAGAATGTCAAATCTGAATTCAACTCTGGAGAAGCATGTAATATATATATATATATATATATATATATATATATATATATATATATATATATATATATATATATTGGGGAAAAGTATGGATCCCTCAGTCTCTCCAAGTTATGGTTTAAAGTAGACTGCGCTTTTTAACCTTGTTTGGTAACCAGTATAGGAAAAGTGACAATTCAGAGCACATACTAGATGAAGTTAATGAAAGGATTCTGAAATTCATAATGACTATCATCCTGACTGCTGTCTGTCTAGGTGATGTAGTGATATCAGTCAGGTGATATTTTTATTAGGTTGGTGCAAAAATAATGACGTAATAATGTCGTTTTTTGACGTACTTTTCTACGTCAAAAAACGACATTCTTACGTCATTATTTTTGCACCAACCTAATATCAAATGGAAAACAGCTGGACCTGTCACAAATAATGGATTCGGATATTTATATTTACCCGATGGCTTATCAGTATGTGAAGTGGACTTCACAAGTACATAGTAGGCGACTGGGACAAAGAGTATCACTGAATTAAGATAAGTTACTTTTTTAGACGACAACACAAAGAACAATGTTATCTATAAAACAGTGACTACTGCCCGCGAGAAAGTCAAAGAGAGAGAGAGAGAGAGAAAGAGACCGAGGTGTCCCACGAAGAACGAGTGTAAGGAAAGACGCCAAGGATATTGTTCACCTCCTCCTTCACCTACGCCTCATTTGGTCCATAGCAGTAAGTTACAACCAGAGAATAAAAACTGGTTTACTGCAGGAAATTGTTATGATTTTCATTCGTGGATAACGATTTTGCCGAAGGGTTTTTTTATTTTAAGCCACAAGTATTTGACTGGAAGAAGCTTCACCCTGTTTACACACCTGGTATCTGGTCTAAGCTGCAGCGATAAAATGCTATATGCATAGGATGCCATTCACATCTCATTATAAAACCTTTATTCCGAGAGAAGCTGATATGTGGTGACCCCAGTGCGTAGTGGGATCACCCCAGATGATAGCAAACATAGACTCTGCACTAATTCTTACAGCAGAGTATCGGAGAAGTCATCGAGCTGAGCTGAGATATATCCTTCTGGTCACGAAGTGTATATTCGCGCCTTCACTCGACGTGCAAAACAGGCGGGGGTCAACTCAGTTACGCCTAGGATGTTGGACAATCGATGATGGGAAGATAGATAAGCACTTACCCAAAAGAACAAAAAAAGTTTCTTTCACCCACGCAGCAAGAAGAATCCACGTTCCGAGACAACCCCGCCTAAACCAAACACCTATTCATTGATATTAATTGACAAAGTCCAGACGTGAATAAACAATAATTTTACGAGGGAAAGATTTAATCTTGTGTTCTTATTTTTGGCAAAGTACTAGAAGCTTGAATCAATTTTGAATTGGTTAAGCCTCTCCCGTTGCCCGAACTTCTTTCAGATAAACAATATGGCTTTCGCTTCACTACGGCAACAGCTGATGTATAAACGATTATTCCCGAAAGCGTCTATCAGGCTTTAGATAAGAGTGGTGACGATCGAGCTGTTACTTTGGATGTCTCGAAAGCGTTTGACAGAGTTTAGCATACCGGTTTTCTTCATAAGCTGAAAGGCTATGGTAATTCCGAAAGAATTTTTGAACTGATTCAGTCCTTATCAAATCACGAAAGTTGAAAGTTTTCCAGAACGCCCACTCTTCTAGATCTTTTTTGTACAAATGCACATGCATGTGGAAGGAGGCTCTATCCTTGGACTTAATCTGTTTTGAATTTTAATCATATGACCTTCCCGATGTTACCAGTTTCCAACTTGATATATCTGCTGCTGACAAAAACATTAACTGCAGTTTCAAGAGTCTGATCAGTTCGATAAGGCCATATTGACATATACGGTCTGTTGTTAACTGGGGCAAGGAATGGCTTGTTAATCTTAAAGCACCAAAACGAAATTTTTCTCTATCAATCCTCTGAAAGACTCTTTCCTGCCTCCCATCAGAATCACTGATGCTAAACTCTAGGAGAATGACTCGTTGTGCCTTCTGGGGCTGACATGAAATGGAAAGATTTCTTAGAAGCAGACCTAGCAATGGATTAAATTTTGTAAGTCCTGAACCTAACACATTTATAAGTCTACCATTCGTTCAGATCTTGAATATTGCTGCACTATATGGCCCGGTGCTCCTGCTATATATCTAGAGATTCTTGATAAAATCCAAAGAAGAATCAGCAATTTTGTTTGTCCTGACCTGACGATGGCTTCAAACATTTTATCACCGCCGTAATGTAGCTTCCTTTTACTTTTCTATCAATAATTTCATGGAAATTGTTCGGACGAACTCTCAGCTCTGATACCGAGATTTTATGTATTTAAGCGTAGTACAAGATTGGCGGAAAGGGCTCACCAATTCACGGTTGGATTGTCCAGATGTAACCGTAAGTTCTATGCTAACAGTTTCTTCTCTCGCATATTTGTATGATAAATAGAGAAATTCTTAAAGAATTAAATTTTTTTTTTTTTCATAAATTATTTCGTCGGGTAGTTCAATGTGTTATTAAATTTTGAGATATGTCTACCGACTTATTAACACTAATGAAACAGATAATGAACAGATGGATATATATATATATATATATATATATATATATATATATATATATCCATCTGTTCATTATCTGTTCCATATATATATATATATATATATATATGTGTGTGTGAAGGTGTGTGTGTGTGTGTGTGTGTGTGTGTGTGTGTGTGTGTGTGTGTGTGTGTGTGTGTGTGTGTGTTCAGTGTGTTTTTGTAGCATGTCCGATTGAATAAGTTACAAACGTAATGTCTGCTTATTTTGATCATAATCCTTTCATATTCATATATATATATATATATATATATATATATATATATATATATATATATATATATATATATGCATGTTTCATTAAAAACAACAGACAAGGTACTACGGTTAAGTTTTTTATTTCATTTTCCTTCTGTCCAAACAAGAGCTTTCTTTTTTTTCAAAGGGTGTGTAAGAACTGTCCAAATGTTTTATATTTCCGAGCGCTTTCGGCTATACCTTTAGCCATTATTAAGGATGATTCGATTTTTCAGCTTAATTGAGCGTGTGCGTTCTGTGTATCTTTTAGTGTGTGGTAGCTCTTGTTCGATCACAAGAAAATTTAAATAAAAAGCTTAACCGTAGTACCTTGTCAGTCGTTTTTAATGAAACATGCATAAAGGAAGGACTGCTGCCTAAATATACAACTATATATATGAACAGATATAAATAAACAGGGATCGATAGATAGATAATGAACAGATGGAGAAAAGGATATATAGACAGGAAAAGATTGAGAAAATTGGCTAGCTACATATGAACAGATTGAGAAAGAAATATACACAGGAACACATATATGAACATATTACGATAGTTAGATTTGAATAGGTTTTATATATATATATATATATATATATATATATATATATATATATATATATATATATATATATATATTTCCAGACCTAGTGAAGTCACTCTAATGTGCGGGATTAAAATTAAACCCAGCCACATCCCTCTAGTAACTACTTTCAACCTCACACTGCCTCCACTATCCAAGATAATCAAAAGTCACTGAGAAATACTACATCTCAAACCAGACCCCAAAAGGGCGCCTTCTAGTATATCGTAGGCCTAAGAACCTAAAAGAAAATTATAAGTAGTAACCACATTTCAGGGGATAAGGTAATCCGTAATAAATCAAAAACCAAAAAAAACAGGATTTTCCCAACCATGTAAAAACATAAGGAGCTTATGCTGTAACCACATTAAACACACGAATTCATTCACTAGCTCAGTCACTAAATCTACTTTCAAAATCTATCACGACTCTAACTGTAGAAGCCATAACATAATTTACCTCCAAGAATGCACACTATGCCAGAAACAATATGCAGGAAAATCTGAATGACTCTTTCACTACAGAATTAATAATTATCGCAATCGAATTAAGTCGGCTCCCCATCAAAGATTATTACCTGTAGAACAACATTTCCGCCTACAAAAACACGATTTTAAAACCCATGCCAAATTCACTACAATTGAGAAAATAGAAAAGTTCAGAGCAGATAACATTAGAAAGATTTTAGAAGGCCATGAAGATAAGTAGATTCTGCGCCTAAAAACGCTCCATCCAGACGGGCTTCATCACAAATTTAACAACATAGATAGAATTAATATATAACCCTACAAATCAGGACCTACCCACATTTCTCACCCACACAAGACAGAGATACTTGCGGAGGTGTTGAGGCCTCACACATATACACACACCAACACACTAATATACACACTTACGCACATCATACTCACTCACTCCCTAAGAACCAAATAACACACACACCTAACAGAGACACATCCCAGAAACCAATAAAACTGTCAAAATGACCAAGGGAATGCAGAGCAGCATGAATCCATCCAGTCCTTATCTTAAATAACAACTTAAAATAGGCTGTTTGACCAACACAAGGACTAACCAAAATTCATGATAAAAAATAAAAAAAAAACTACAGACAAAAGTTCCTTTTCTCCATCAAGTCATTCATTTCTGTAACAAGCAGAATTTTTTTCTCCTGATGATGACCATGTTGGCCGAAACTAGTCGAGGAATCTAAATGAAATAATAAAAACGAAAGAATATTAATATACAACGCAGTGTGTATGAAGATTTTAATTTTTTATACAAACAGATATGAATTGATTAAAAATATTGTGCGATTGCCCTATTTGTCTGCCGAGGAACTTCTGCTGTTGACCTCTAGAAGGTTTTGCCAAAAAGCAGGATTAAATAAAAGGGCGCCAAGTCTATCTGTTCTCTTTTCTCTCTTTACTCAATGGATGTCGGGGGGGGGCAGAAGAAAACATTTGACGACAGACATGGTATAATGATATGATCGTATGAACTGTTTACTTGAACAGTAAATAGGAATTAAATTACAAACAATATTGTGCATTTAACAGCAACAACTAAACAGAAAAAATATACAGGTACTTTTGGTGAATTGTCGCCATGTTATATTTTTAATTTCACGCATGCGCATTATTTGTTTTTAATTTTGTTGACTGTAGATTATAGTTAGGTTAAAATTCATTCCGCCAGAAATTTGGAAAACGTTATGCTCTAATACTTGACATTTTTGCAGAAAACTCCAATACGAACATTTCAGGGTGTTTGGGTGTCAATTGAAAGACAGTGCGAGGATTCGAAAAGAGTTGCGTGAGTCTAATGGTGATTACGAAGGCACGGCAGCGTGGAAAACTCATTCTGATAGTTCTGATGAGAAAAGAACTCCCGAATTTGTTGGTGAGGGCCTCAAACTCAACACGGAAGCGTATATCAAGTGCTTTGAAGAGATAGTGCTACTCTGGGTCAAGAGGGTGGCTTCTGGAAGACCCTATATCTGGCAACAAGACTCTGCACACTGCCACACAAGCAGGAGAACCCTGTCATAGGTGTCAGACAATTTCTACGGCCACATCACCCCTTATAACTGGCCACCTAAACCCCCAAACTACAGCCCCCTTGTTTATTATATGTAGGGCGAAGTTGAGCGAGAGTCCAACAAAAGTCCTTGTAACACCAACGATGAATTGAAGGTAAGGATTATGGCGGATTTCACCAACTTAAATAGAACTCCTCCCAGAAGAGTTGCAGGAGATTCCAATGTCGTCAGGAGGCCGTGGTACAAACATTTCAGAGTGTTTGGTTGTCAATCTGATGACAGTGCAGAGGATTCGGAAAGATACGGGCTAGGGCTCGGAGATACCCACTTTAAACCGGCCTTGTGCCACATTTTATCCTCGTGGGTGGATAGATAAATATTCGGAAAGATATATCCAATCAACCTCATGGTGTTTGGAGTTACTAGTGATGGCAACGTTATGCCTCCATTCATTTTCCGACAGGACCCCAAACTCAACACTATTTCTGGCGACAGGAGAACCCAGTCATGGCTGCCAGACAATTTCTGCGATCACAACAGCCCTCACATCTGGCCACCTAACTCCCCAGATTGAAACCCCATAATTAATTATGTGTGGGGCCCAGTTGAACGAGAGATCAACAAAACTCCTTGTAACACCAAAGATGAACTGAAGGCAAAGATTATAGTATCATTCACCAACTTAAACACGGAAACTGCCCAGAAGAGATACAGAAGATTCCGAAGTCACCTTAGGTCGTGGTTGAAGCCAATGGCGATTTTATTGAATAAATTTACTCTTTATTTTTTTTGTGTAATTTTTATAAATATATCTGTTAAAATGAGATAAGAGTATTATTTTCAGTTTGGCGTAATTTACGACAATTTATCCATCGCACCCTGTAAGTTGGGTATTGGAGGAGCTTAACTCGTCGAGAACAAAACACAGCATCATTTTTTTTTCCACTTTGTCATTCATTCGCCTAATATTACTGGACTCTCCCGTATGTAAATGGAAGTGTATATATGAACATGTTCTTATTCGTACGTACAGTGTGCGTAGAGTCCAGTTAAAGATATTGAGAGATTTGTTGGCTTGGTTGATATCAGCTTAGGGCATTTGTATACTGTGGTATGTACAATGCGACACGTGGTTCACTAGAGAGTAAGAAGTCCCCCCCAGAAGGAAAACATAGCATTTCTTGTTGTCATGAAGTATGACACAATACTTGAATTACTTAACATTTTATTTACTCAAATATTTCGTCAATTGTGCTCGCCGGTCTGTGGTATATGGCCCCTAGAGAGCACTCATCTGAACGATGTACTTACATTTTACGTTTGTGGTCGGTGAGAAGTTTCCCAATCATATTTGGTATGGTTATTTATATAGCCTTCTGCTCAACATTCTCGTTTTGCAATACCGGGTGTTGGTTTGAGGTCAAATACTTCTGTATTCAGTGGTCTGGACTGGTTAACACTACACGGTCTGGTGTGAAATTTGCGTGCAATATCTATCCCGGTATAATACACCATTGACCTTGTGGATAAAGAGAGAAATTTGGCGCTCTCTTCTGTTGTGATACATTTTGGCAAAGACATCTAGCGACCAATAGCAGACATTCCTTCCTAGACAAGTGGGCTAATCCCAAGACATATACAATTATAATTCATCTGAAAATTGAACCGGGCACTATCGCTTCATGTGGCCTTGTTAGGGCCAGAAATAAAGACACAAAGAGAAGAATTGAGTTAAACAAATATATTAACAGAAACAGTAATACAAACATATACAAAAGAGTGTGTTACAGCAAGAATGTTTGGTGCGACTGTCAGAGCTGACTGCTGGAAACGTTCCGATATTTATTTCTGTTTAAATACAGAAAATGTGGCATAAGGCCAATAAGGGGAATGGGGAAAAAGACGACCTTCGTCTATCTTAATTTTAAAGTTAGCTAGCCAAAAACACTGACCCAAACATACAAACAATATTCCTAACAACGCAATTTTACTTGTGTGTGTATGTGTATTTCTTTTGTTTTTTTGTTTTTGTTTGTTTATGCCATCTCAAAGCAGCTTACATTTTTCTTCTCTTTCCCTTGATACAGGTTTTCTCTGTATATCGTCCTTTTTCATTTCCTTCATCTTCGCCAATCAAGCCGGACCTTATATCTTCGTTCTTTTTGATGAGTACGTCACCAGTCTGCCATTGTTAATCGTCGTCATCTTTGAAATCATCACAATCTCCTATATTTACGGCCTCTACAGGTAAGCAGACGAACTTTATATTTGATTAATTGCTTTTAATGTCAGTTTGTCGTCCACACGATACCTGCTAGAAATTTGAATGATCTTTTGCCAATTAACCTCTTGCTGCCCATTGCGCCACTAGCGGAACCTATTTTAAGACTTTGTTTTTCAAAACCAAAGGTGTATTATCGATAATATACAGAGAAAAAGCCAAAATACCACCTGTCCTCACACACCATGTTAACGCGTTGACTGCAAAAGGTAAACAAATTTATAAATTAATAGAACAACCGCTTTAGCTTCCTTTCTTTCAACATACGGTCAGCTTTAAACCCAATGGAATTACAGGGTGTAATTGATTTCTATTTTTCCCTCAGATTAGGTCATTTGCAATGGTGTGCAGTAATATGAATCTATTTTCGGGGTGTATGATGAAATTTGTTTGGCCGTGATAAATATTGGGTCATCCGTGATTCCATCAGATTTTCATCACGCCCAGACACTACTGTCTCGACTGTCGATTAGTTGGCCTACAGCCATCGTCTGCGATGGACGTTACTCCAAGGAAGCGTACGAAAAAAGCTTTACCAGTGGGCAAATCAAAGTACTATCGAATGGCTTGGAAACTCTCCTGATTTAAATCCATTCGAGAATCTGTGGTCAATCTGCAAGAAAAGACTTCGTGGAATGGACATGCGAAGTACTAATATTTGCACTGGGTCATATTTCATTAGAAAAATGCAAAAAAAGTAAATAATAACGTAATTATTCGTTTACTTTCAATTAATTTGCACAAGGATGTAAAAATATCGATCAGCGCCTCTGCTCTGTTCTGCAGGAATGTTGTAAGTTTTAGTGATATGATGGTTGCTTCTACATATCTTAAAATTGGTATGTCATCATCGTTTCACGATTCTTGACCCTTTGGTCACTAGGGCTGGTGAGTACTACCCACGAAACCTCCCGCCGGAGGAGGGTAGTCTGACTGGGGACCCGGGAAATGCCATGACCTTCACAATGTTATTGAACATGAAGATGAAGGTCGTATCAATGATGAGAACAATACCAAACAAATTGAAATAAATACTGGAAAAGGCGGAAATTAGAGGAAGAGTTGCAGCCATGAAGATGTAGAACATAGTTAAGATACTGGAAAGAATGCTGGCGCATTGAGGAGACCTGCTGTTACTTAATTTGCTTCTCTATCCTCGACTCCTCCTGACAAAGGAGGTGGGGATGATTTAGGGATCCCGGGCAATGTTTTGTAACCCTTGCTATCTTATCAACATTTTCTATCTATATGTACGTTACAAATTAAACTAAGCACAACTGGCTATTAACACTTTCACTGCTACTCATTTGCCCAGTGTTGCCCCCATCCGGCCAGCCATTTTTAAAGAAAATGCCAAATTTCAACCTACATATTTTATTACACAGAAAACTGGCACCAGTGTGTTTTACAGCCTTCCATTTTCATGGATATACCTGGGAATGTCTTACCAGATTAGTAATGGGTATACACATGATATCTTTTGAAGCATTGTCCTTTGTGATTTGACGATAGATGGCGCAACGAGAAACTCATAACAGCGGTATGCAAAAAAAACGTAGGTTTCCGTACTTAGCCAGCTGGAGCAAGATAAGAAAAACTAAGATCTCCATAGTTAGCAGCCGAAGTGTTAAAGAATGAAAGACTTTCGCAGATTTTGATGTCAATTTGAGGGTTTTTTTTGTTCAAATCCGTGAATTTGTTTTGCTTATGATAAGTCCCGAATGTATTAAAATTTTTTAACAAGAACAGTCTCAAGTTGATGTTAAAAATTGCCACTAAACATGGTTGATCGATTAAAAGTGATCTGTTATGACATGACTGTAATTTGGATTTAGATACATTGTGCTTTTCAATTTTTCTAGTTGAATTGTTCACCAATATTGCATACGATCCATTATTGTATATACAGTGAAACCTTGGTTCTCAAACATTTCACATGTCGAACAAATGGGTTTTCGAGCAGAATATTCGAGGAGAAAATGCTTCGGCTATCAAACAAAATTTCGGTTCTAGAACAACATTGCCGAACCGAATTAACCCGAACGGAATCATTTCTTAGTCGGCCGCCATGTTGTATACATTCGTGTGTTGTGTTGTGCTTTTCTTTTCCAATTTTATTGTACTGTGCCTTTTTTTTTCTCTTCATTAGACTTCCGTCATGGCTCCAAAGAAAGCTAGCAATGATACTGGTAAAGGAAAAAGAAAAGTTAAGAGAAAAACAATTGTTGATGATAATGTCTCTTCCTACTCAATTTCATATGAAAAAATCAACGATCTATACTATTCTTATAAATAAAGAGACGATCATGTCTTTCCTTCCCTTTTCCAAACAATAACATCTCTCCCCCCCCTTCCACTTACACCATCAACTCTCCTACTTACAGATACGGTAAAATTAAAGCGTTTGTCTATATTTTATCTGTTTAGTATTTTTTTTCTTAGATTTGATGATTTTTGTGTATAAACTTGTGCACAAAGTGCTGTTGTTAAAGTTTAAATAAGCAATCATCTTGGGACCAGGAACCGATTAATCCATTTTACATTGATTCCTATTGGAAAAATAGTTTCGGTTTACGAATATTTCGGGTTACCAACGGGCTTCAGGAACGAATTAAATTCGTGAACCGAGGTTTCACGGTAATTAGGTTACAATAAAATTTGTATTTTATATGAATACTACCTTATGAAAATTGAGATGTACTAGAGTGGCGAGCTACGTATCATAGATTTGGGGGGAGCACAAGACCCTTGCATCGGTCCCTGCCTTTGTTACATTGGGTTCACCTCTGTGTTAGGAGTTATATGGGTCTGAGCAGTGGTCTGTCGATTCTTTTCATTATGTCATCTTCTTCTGTGAAACAGTTATTATCTTTGTCTTGGATGGTGCTGACCCGTGCTTCCTTTGGTTTCATTAGGGCCCTCACAATTCGGAACGCTCATTTTTCTCGTGTTCTTATCCAGACTTATCGCCATCTCCGAACATCGTTTTCCAATCCAGTTTTCTTTGTTTTTTTCCCATGATCTTCTAGATTTCGTTTGCTGATTTCCTTGCATGCTGTAGCTTCTAAATCTCCTTATTCTTCTTCTTCAAGTCTCTCCTTGTGTCGCCCATCTGAAGAATTTCATCTGTTACCCATGGCATTTTTTTTTCTACGTGTCTTTCTGGTAATATCTGTTTGGTATTTCCTACACAAATGCATACATGCTCAGAAGAGTGACCCGTCAGATAAATGGCTATAAAGACGAAGAAGTTGAAGCGGCGTGACCACGTAACCAAACCACTAAGCCTCTTGAAGACCATCCTACAAGGAACAGTACAAGATGGGGACACCAATGAAAAAGATGACCGGAGAACGTCATCGAATGAACCGGTGAAAGTTTTGCCCAAATTCAGGCTGTTGTGGAGGCGGAAGTGGATACTTTGGAATGTTTAATTATTTACATATATAAGACTAGCAACTTATAGCTGTTGCTCTTGCTAAGGCAAAAAGGAGAATTAGTGGTGAAATTAGAAGTGAAATGAACATTGGTGGTGGCCGTCTTCGTCGGTGGCGTCTCTCTCTCTCTCTCTCTCTCTCTTTCTCTCTCTCTCTCCCTCTCTCTCCCTCTCAACGAGTCGGTGTCGATATGAAGCTCTGGTCTGTGCTATTTCTTTCTTTCAGCATGTCGGTGTTGACAACAAACGCTGGTCTGTACCGGGTCCGTTTGAATTTGGTTATAGATAGCTTTTAGTCGGCTCGAAATTAAGTTTTCGGTTTTTAAACGGGTGTGCATCTGACTGATCATAATATATTATTAATTTTGTTTTGGTTAAAGCAGATATATGCGTGGAGCCGATGCACAGAAAACTTATTTACGCAGTCTGCTCTGGGTCGTCAACTGTTCAACATCCGGTTTGTGTAGAAAATGTAAGCGGCGCGAAAAGGTCCTGGTCAATAACCGCATTAAATAGAGGCTTTTTGTTGAGCAAGTCACCATTCAGCACCTTTAAGACCCTGGAGGATTGTAGGACAGCAACAACAACAAAAACAACAACAAGACATAAAAAGTCAACAATAACATTTTTAAATGATTATTCCGCAGCATAGTCACTATCTACTTCAATAACTGCTTCCCATTTGATTGGAAGACGGTCGATTCCACGGGCAAAGAAGTCACGGTTCTTGGAGACAATTCACGCTTTGACATCGGCTACCAAGTTATCCAAATCGGCATAAACTTTGTTAACCTGCCAATCTTTCAGAATCGAGTGATGAGATAGTCCCTAGGCGCTTCTGTGGGAGAATATGGCGGATGTGGAAGCAGTTCCCAACCGTTATTGGCGATACATTCGACAACACGACGATCAACATGTGGACACGCATTATCGTTGGTGGAAGACGATATAGTGCTTTTTGCGCGGTCTTTTCGTCTAGATTGCAGCGTGAAGGCGGTCAAGCTGAACCAGATAAACATGGAATCCTCCACTGTGTAAGCTCATCGTCGTCCTTCCACCAAAAAACAAACCCCTTTTGAGATGTTTTCCCAATGGGTGATTCCGTCTTCTGTCCCACCAAACACACCACTAGTGTCGCCAGATCTGAAACGGACAAATCATTCCCTGCCTCGTCTTTCGCTGATTGTTCCTTCGCCCAAGAAGTTCCTTCAGATCGAGATATGACTACGCTGCTTTCCATCGTTTTTTTTTTGAATTAGTAAAGCAGAATATGATTATCGACACGCATTTTTATGACTTGAAAACAAAATAATATTTTTATTAAAAAAAAGTAAACAAAACAGCAATTTTCATTAACAAATAACTCGCCCACAAAAACGCCTGATAATCATGCACCAACCCAATATGTATATTTATTAATATATATATATATATATATATATATATATATATATATATATATATATATATATATATATATATATGATAAAATAACGAAATAGAAACGTATATCATTGTTCTTTGTTTAAGCATTTTGTCGGATTTCAGCCGATCCATATTTGAACTGAATTTGATATTTAACTCGTATATATATATATATATATATATATATATATATATATATATGTTTGTATGATGACAAGAATCATTTACGCCTAAGAAAACACGTCGATCAGCAGATTACTAGATCATAACTTATTCAGTTGTGAAGCTTCTTCATAAATTGAAAAGAATTATCTTGCATTGTTAAAATGAGATGCCAATGTTATTTTTCATTTTTGCGTAATTTAGACGACAATTTATTCATCGCACGCTTGTATGTGTATGGGAATGTGCACGTGTATATCTATCTATCTATCTATCTATCTATATATATATATATATATATATAGTTTATATTATCCACATACAGGCCTGTTTTAACATGATTACTACATTAGGTGACATTGGGCAATGTCTGTTCGACCTAAAACTGCACGATTTCATATCTCTATCATTCACTTCTTCATAGTCAGCCTATAAATTTTTTCAGCCCACCCTCGTGCTGAATTGAAATTTTAAAATAATAGAAAAGTAGAAAGAAATTTAAAAATTAATTTCAAATATAGAAAGTATAGAAAAATGTATTTATTATTTATTGGGTTAGTGCATAATTACCAGGCGTTTTTAGACAACATTTATTATAAGAAAAGAAACATAACAATGACATTTTTGAATGATTATCGCATGATTATCGACACGCATTTTTATAACGTGAAAATAAAAGAATATTTTTATTAAAAAAGTAAACAAAACAGCAATTTTTATTAACAAACAACGCGCCTACAAAGACGCCTGACAATTTTGCACTAACCCAATATATACCGATATACAATATATCCTTTATTATAACTTGACACAACTGGCAACCCTGTTAGGAAAGAAAAAATATCTGCCAAAAAATCGTTATTGACACCATGACTGGAAATTAATCTAAGGGAGGAAACTCTTAAATGTTCCTATTACTAAAACTTTGAGAATTACTGTCGGAAAGTTTGAAATAAAAAAATGTAACAATTAAATCCTGATTCTTTCTGGATAAACTCCTCTTTCACAAAGTTTACGGATCAGTTGATTCACTAACTGATCCATGGATTGAACTCATGACTACTAGGTGGCAGCAATATTTAATTGCACAACGACTATATATGCCACAGGTCTTAAAAACACATCCGCTATTTTTTTTTCATTGCGAACAAACAAGGACCAGCAACGCAATGACAAAATAATACAATAATCAATGCATATAAGATATTCCAATAATAATGAATGCCCGAAGATAGCCAGATGGTATTTTGCTGAAACGTTTTTGCTGAAACGTATTTTGCTGAAATATAACAATCAAAGATTGTCGTATGCTAACAATTTCTCGTCTCAAAAAACAAATACTCACGTGTCTCGTGTATACTTTTGTTAATCTACTATTACTTATTCGATTCATTCAAAATATTGTATATATATCTTTAATTGTTATGGATTTTGTTACAGACACAATGTTTCAGCCAAATATTCACTGGTCATCTTCAGGTCTCCATTATTTTGTGATTAGGAATTAACAATATACTTTGACTTATTCGAACTATTATTCTCATTTTTTTTTACTTATAGGTGTTATTATAGATACAATGTTTCAGCCAAGTAACTTCTGTTCATCTTCAGGTGTCCATTGTTTTGTTTGAATGATTGGGCACTTCTCGGCGCCGTCTGAATAAATCTACGGGAGAGTGCCTTTTCACGAATGCTGAGTAAGATGCGCTTCGATTGGCTGACAATTTACAATTTTTACAGCTAGTTCTTCAAATATGCAAAATAGTTAAAAGCGTTCTCGTATATAATAAAAATATCGAATAAGAAAAGGGACGCGAAGGACGTCGCTTCTGTGGGTAGCAAAGTGGTTAGGGGAGAGAGGAAAGGATCAGCAAAACATTCGGCTGAAAGATACGTCTTTACTTAATGCTTAGTTTTCGGGGTTTTCATTGTCTTCCTTTTTTCTTCTGTTTTATTTTAGATTCAGCAACGACATTGAGCTGATGACTGGCCGTCGACCTGGTTACTATATGCTCACTTGTTGGAAATGCGTGTGTCCTTTGATTATTGCCTTGTTAATTATCGTTGTGTTGGTCAATCTGGCCACCGAGTACAAAACATATGAAGCCTGGAATCGTGAAACGGTCAGTAAAGGTTTGCAAAGAACACGCGCGCATACGCGCACACTACAATATTTTTAAATTACATTAGTACAGTAAATTAATTTAAAATTTATTCTTATATTAAAATCATTTGCAATGCATTCTTATATTAAAATCATTTACAATGCATTCTTATAGTAAAATCATTTACAATGCATTCTTATAGTAAAATCATTTACAATGCATTCTTATAATAAAATCATTTACAATGCATTCTTATAATAAAATCATTTACAATGCATTCTTATAATAAAATCATTTACAATGCTTTCTTACATAAACTCATTTATAATGCATTCTTATAGTAAAATCATTTACAATTCATTCTTCTAATAAAATAATTCACAATAAATTGTTATACTAAAATCATTTACTATGCATTCTTACAATAAAATCATTTACAAAGCATTCTCATAATAAAATCATTTACAATGGATTTTTATAATAAAATCATTTACAATAAAACTCATTTACAATGCATTCTTATAGTAAAATCATTACAATGCATTTTTAGGAAAAAATTGTTACAATGCATTCTTATAATAAAATCATTTACAATGCATTTTTATAATAAAATCATTTACAATGCATTCTTATAAAATCATTTACAATGCATTTTTATAATAAAATCATTTACAATGCATTCTTATAATAAAATCATTTACAATGCATTTTTATAATAAAATCATTTACAATGCATTCTTATAATAAACTCATTTACAATGCATTTTTATAATAAAATCATTTACAATGCATTCTTAATAAAATCATTTACAATGCATTTTTTATAATAAAATCATTTACAATGCATTCTTATAATAAAATCATTTACAATGCATTTTTATAATAAAATCATTTACAATGCATTCTTATAATAAAATCATTTACAATGCATTTTATAATAAAATCATTTACAATGCATTCTTATAAACTCATTTAAATGCATTTTTTATAATAAAATCATTTACAATGCATTCTTATAATAAAATCATTTACAATGCATTTTATAATAAAATCATTTACAATGCATTCTTATAATAAAATCATTTACAATGCATTTTTATAATAAAATCATTTACAATGCATTTTTATAATAAAATCATTTACAATGCATTCTTATATAAACTCATTTACAATGCATTCTTATATTAAAATCATTTACAAAAATATTCTTATAGTAAAATCATTTACAATTCATTCTTACAGTAAAATAATTCACAATGAATTCTTATAGTAAACTCATTTACAATGCATTCTTACAATAAAATCATTTACAATGCATTTTTATAATAAAATCATTTACAATGCATTTTTATAATAAAATCATTTACAATGCATTCTTACAATAAAATCATTTACAATGCATTTTTATAATAAAATCATTTACAATGCATTTTTATAATAAAATCATTTACAATGCATTTTTATAAAATCATTTACAATGCTTTCTTACATAAATTCATTTACAATTTCTTACAATAAAATCATTTATGCATTTTTGTAATAAAATCATTTACTGCATTCTTATATTAAAATCGTTTACAATGCATTCTTATATTAAAATCATTTACAATGCATTCTGATAATAAATTCATTTACAATTCATTCTTACAGTAAAATAATTCACAATGAATTCTTATAGTAAACTCATTTATGCATTCTTACAATAAAATCATTTACAATGCATTTTTATAATAAAATCATTTACAATGCATTTTTATAATAAAATCATTTACAATGCATTTTATAATCATTTACAATGCTTTCTTAATAAAATCATTTACAATGAATTCTTATAAAATCATTTACAATGCATTTTTGTAGTAAAATCATTTACAATGCCTTCTTATTCATTTACAATGCATTCTTATATAAAATCATTTACAATGCCTTTACATTTATGCTTTCTTATAAACTCAAAATCTTTTCTTAAATAAAATCATTAACAATGCATTCTTACAATAAAATCATTTACAATGCATTCTTACATAAACTCATTTACAATTTATTCTTATAAAATCATTTACAATTTTTTCATAATAAAATCATTTACAAAACATTCTTATAATAAAATCATTTACAATGTATTCTTATAATAAAATCATTTACAATGCATTCTTATAATAAAATCATTTACAATGCATTTTTTTAATAAAATCATTTACAATGCATACTCATAATAAAATCATTTACAATGGATTTTTATAATAAAATCATTTACAATGCATTATTATAATAAAATCATTTACAATCTTTCTTCATAAACTCATTTACAATGCACTCTTATAGTAAAATCATATACAATGCATTTTTAGAAAAAAATCATTTACAATGCATTCTTATAATAAAATCATTTACAATGCATTTTTATAATAAAATCATTTACAATGCATTCTTATAATAAAATCATTTACAATGTATTTTTATAATAAGATCATTTACAATGCATTCTTATAATAAAATCATTTACAATGCTTTCTTACATAAACTCATTTACAATGCATTCTTATAGTAAAATCATATACAATGCATTTTTAGAAAAAAATCATTTACAAAGCATTCTTACATAAACTCATTTACAATGCACTCTTATAATAAAATCATTTACAATGCATTTTTATAATAAAATCATTTACAATGCATTCTTATAATAAAATCATTTACAATGAATTCTTACAATAAAATCATTTACAATGCATTTTTGTAATAAAATCATTTACAATGCATTCTTATATTAAAATCGTTTACAATGCATTCTTATATTAAAATCATTTACAATGCATTCTTAATAAATTCATTTAAATTCATTCTTACAGTAAAATAATTCACAATGAATTCTTATAGTAAACTCATTTACAATGCATTCTTAAATAAAATCATTTACAATGCATTTTTATAATAAAATCATTTACAATGCATTTTTTATAATAAAATCATTTACAATTTTTTATAATAAAATCATTTACAATGCATTTTTATAAAATCATTTACAATGCTTTCTTACATAAACTCATTTACAATGAATTCTTACAATAAAATCATTTACAATGCATTTTTGTAGTAAAATCATTTACAATGCATTCTTATAATAAAATCATTTATAATGCATTTTTATTATAAAATCATTTACAATGCATTTTTATAATAAAATCATTTACAATGCATTCTTATAATAAAATCATTTACAATTTATTTTTAAAATAAAATCATTTACAATGCTTTCTTATAATAAAATCATTTACAATGCTTTCTTACATAAACTCATTTAAATGCTTTCTTAAATAAAATCATTAACAATGCATTCTTACAATAAAATCATTTACAATGCTTTCTTACATAAACTCATTTAAATGCTTTCTTAAATAAAATCATTAACAATGCATTCTTACAATAAAATCATTAACAATGCATTCTTACAATAAAATCATTTACAATGCTTTCTTACATAAACTTATTTACAATGCATTCTTACAATAAAATCATTTACAATGCTTTCTTACATAAACTCATTTACAATTTATTCTTACAATAAAATCATTTACAATGCATTTTCATAATAAAATCATTTACAAAACATTCTTATAATAAAATCATTTACAATGTATTCTTATAATAAAATCATTTACAATGCATTTTTATAATAAAATCATTTACAATGCATTCTTATAATAAAATCATTTACAATGCATTTTTATAAGATCATTTACAATGGATTTTTATAATAAAATCATTTACAATGCTTTCTTCATAAACTCATTTACAATGCATTCTTATAGTAAAATCATATACAATGCATTTTTAGAAAAAAAACATTTACAATGCATTCTTATAATAAAATCATTTACAATGCATTTTTATAATAAAATCATTTACAATGCATTCTTACATAAACTCATTTACAATGCATTTTTATAATAAAATCATTTACAATGCATTCTTATAATAAAATCATTTACAATGCATTTTTATAATAAAATCATTTACAATGCATTCTTATAATAAAATCATTTACAATGCTTTCTTACATAAACTCATTTACAATGCATTCTTATAGTAAAATTATTTACAATGCATTTTTATAATAAAATCATTTACAATGCATTCTTATATAAACTCATTTACAATGCATTCTTATATTAAAATCATTTACAAAAATATTCTTATAGTAAAATCATTTACAATTCATTCTTACAGTAAAATAATTCACAATGAATTCTTATAGTAAACTCATTTACAATGCATTCTTACAATAAAATCATTTACAATGCATTTTTATAATAAAATCATTTACAATGCATTTTTATAATAAAATCATTTACAATGCATTTTTATAATAAAATCATTTACAATGCATTTTTATAATAAAATCATTTACAATGCATTTTTTATAAAATAATTTAAAATTCATTTACAATGCATTTTATAATAAAATCATTTACAATGCATTTTTATAATAAAATCATTTACAATGCATTTTATAAAAATCATTTAATGCATTCTTATATTAAATTCATTTACAATGCATTCTGATAATAAAATCATTTACAATTCATTCTTACAGTAAAATAATTCACAATGAATTCTTATAGTAAACTCATTTACAATGCATTCTTACAATAAAATCATTTACAATGCCTTCTTACATAAAATCATTTACAATGCTTTCTTACATAAAATCATTTACAATGCCTTCTTACATAAAATCATTTACAATGCTTTTTTACATAAAATCATTTACAATGCTTTCTTACATAAACTCATTTAAATGCTTTCTTAAATAAAATCATTAACAATGCATTCTTACAATAAAATCATTTACAATAAACTCATTTTTTACATAAACTCATTTACAATGCTTTCTTACATAAACTCATTTAAATTTATTCTTAAATAAAATCATTTACAATGCATTTTATAATAAAATCATTTACAATGCTTTCTTATATAAAATCATTTACAATTATTCTTATAATAAAATCAAACAATGTATTCTTTAATAAAATCATTTACAATGCATTCTTATAATAAAATCATTTACAATGCTTTTCTTATAATAAAATCATTTACAATGCATTTTATAATAAAATCATTTACAATGCATTCTTATAATAAAATCATTTACAATGCATTCTTATAATAAAATCATTTACAATGCATTCTTATAATAAAATCATTTACAATGCATTCTTATAATAAAATCATTTACAATGCATTCTTATAATAAAATCATTTACAATGCATTCTTACATAAACTCATTTACAATGCATTCTTATATTAAAATCGTTTACAATGCATTCTTATAGTAAAATCATTTACAATGCATTTTTTTAATAAAATCATTTACAATGCATACTCATAATAAAATCATTTACAATGGATTTTTATAATAAAATCATTTACAATGCATTATTATAATAAAATCATTTACAATCTTTCTTCATAAACTCATTTACAATGCATTCTTATAGTAAAATCATATACAATGCATTTTTAGAAAAAAATCATTTACAATGCATTCTTATAATAAAATCATTTACAATGCATTTTTATAATAAAATCATTTACAATGCATTCTTATAATAAAATCAATTAACAATGCATTCTTATAATAAAATCATTTACAATGCATTCTTATAATAAAATCATTTACAATGCATTCTTATATTAAAATCGTTTACAGTGCATTCTTATAGTAAAATCATTTACAATGCATTTTTTTAATAAAATCATTTACAATGCATTTTTATAAAATCATTTACAATGCTTTCTTACATAAACTCATTTACAATGAATTCTTACAATAAAATCATTTACAATGCATTTTTGTAATAAAATCATTTACAATGCATTCTTATATTAAAATCGTTTACAATGCATTCTTATATTAAAATCATTTACAATGCATTCTGATAATAAATTCATTTACAATTCATTCTTACAGTAAAATAATTCACAATGAATTCTTATAGTAAACTCATTTACAATGCATTCTTACAATAAAATCATTTACAATGCATTTTTATAATAAAATCATTTACAATGCATTTTTATAATAAAATCATTTACAATGCATTTTTATAAAATCATTTACAATGCTTTCTTACATAAACTCATTTACAATGAATTCTTACAATAAAATCATTTACAATGCATTTTTGTAGTAAAATCATTTACAATGCATTCTTATAATAAAATCATTTATAATGCATTTTTATTATAAAATCATTTACAATGCATTTTTATAATAAAATCATTTTCAATGCATTTGTATAATAAAATCATTTACAATGCTTTCTTATAATAAAATCATTTACAATGCTTTGTTATATTAAAGTCGTTTACAATGCATTATTATAATGAAATCATTTACAATGCATTCTTACATAAACTTATTTACAATGCATTCTTACAATAAAATCATTTACATTCCTTTCTTACATAAAATCATTTACAATGCTTTCTTACATAAACTCAATTACAATGATTTCTTGCATAAACTCATTTACAATGCATTCTTACAATAAAATCATTTACAATGCTTTCTTACATAAACTCATTTAAATGCTTTCTTAAATAAAATCATTAACAATGCATTCTTACAATAAAATCATTTACAATGCTTTCTTACATAAACTCATTTAAATGCTTTCTTAAATAAAATCATTAACAATGCATTCTTACAATAAAATCATTTACAATGCTTTCTTACATAAACTCATTTACAATGCATTCTTACAATAAAATCATTTACAATGCTTTCTTACATAAACTCATTTAAATGCTTTCTTAAATAAAATCATTAACAATGCATTCTTACAATAAAATCATTTACAATGCTTTCTTACATAAACTCATTTAAATGCTTTCTTAAATAAAATCATTTACAATGCATTCTTACAATAAAATCATTTACAATGCATTTTTATAATAAAATCATTTACAATGCATTCTTATAATAAAATCATTTACAATGCTTTCTTACATAAACTCATTTACAATGCATTCTTATAGTAAAATTATTTACTATGCATTCTTATAATAAAATCAATTACAATGATTTCTTACATAAACTCATTTAGAATGCGTTCTTATATTAAAATCGTTTACAATGCATTCTTACAATAAAATCATTTACAATGCATTCTTATAATAAAATCATTTACAATGCATTCTTATAATAAAATCATTTACAATGCATTCTTATAATAAAATCATTCACAATGCATTCTCATAGTAAAATTATTTAAATTGTAAAATTATTCTTATTGTAAAATTATTCTTATTGTAAAATCATTTACAATGCATTCTTATAATAAAATTATTTACTATGTATTCTTATACTAAAATCATTTACAATATATTTTTATAGTAAAATTGTTTACAATGCATTCTTGTAATAAAATTATTTACAATGTATTCTTGCAATAAAATCATTTACAATACATTCTTATAGTAAAATCCTTTACACTTCATTATTGTAATAAAATTAATTACAGTGCATTCTTTTACTAAAATCATTTAGAATGTATTTTCATAATAAAATTATTTACAATGTATTTTTATAATAAAACCATTTACAATGCATACTTATAGTAAACTAATTTACAATGCATTTCTGTAGGAAAATCCTTTGCAGTGCCTTTCTACAACGAAATCCTTTAAAATTCATTCTTAAAATGAAATAATTTCCAGTGTATTCTTATTGTAACATCGTTTATAATGCATACTTAAATTCATTTATAATGGATTCTTATTGTCAAATCACTTACAATGCATTCTTATAATAAAATCATTTGCAATGCAATTCTATAGTAAAATCCTTGGTAATGTATTCTGTAAATAAATCATTTAAAATGCAATCTTATTACACAATATTTTCAATCTTTATTTTAATATAAAGTTATTATTTTCAGTTTTAAATCTTTTTTTTCTAAATCTTATAAATTGTGTTGAATACAACCATTTAAAAAAGGATAGACCAATAATTTTAACTATTCTAATTAGTATAGTTTATATTAAAAAATATTTAGTTGCATTTACACTATTTACATTGTTCGGACTGTTGTCTTCATCTTTATTGTCATATCCACGACGTTTTAACCGTTGTACGCTTCGGCCTTCTTCAGATGATATACGCTGGAATTTCGAACCGAACATTTTATTTAGTCCACTGGGGTGAATTGTTCTTATTCCACGTGTCATGCCTCTTCTGGATATCTCAGTTTTCAGTTATTTCTCTTTAGTAAGTCTTCGTTCACCTCTTCTGTGGCCAGGTATTGAACTTCTAAACACTTTGGGTCAAGTCACTTTTAGATTACTTCAACCAATGCTTTTATCCACTGGACCATGTGTCCTTGAGAGCATATAAATAACGGGTTCGATTCAAAATTCCTTCGTATATCACCTGAAGAATGCCGGGGCGTACAACAGCTGAAACTTCGTGAATATAACAATAAAGATGAGGGCAAGGGTTTGGACAATGCAAATAGTGTAAAAAGATACAATTATTATAAATTAACTGATTTAAAATATGGTTTCTTCGCTACACAGGAATTACCAAGACCGAAGCTAAAAACTTCAAATTTAATTATATAATTAAATTAAAATCATTAGTTCTGTTTCATCTTCAAGCGAATTTTCGAATAACTTATTTTTAAATTTACTGAGTTTTAAACGCATATACAATTCATAATTTTTTTCCCAAGGATACAGAGAAATCCAGTCATTTAGACAGGGGCGGTAGCGTGTTCATTTTTATTAACTATTATTGTATCAAATATGAGTTACGTTCGAAAAAGAGGTTATGTCTAGGGATGGTAGGGGTGTATTTTTCAACGAATTTTGACACCCTTTCAAAGAATGTCGTCTGTTTTTTTTTTTTTTTCTATCAACGACAAAAAGTTTTTCGACATTTTTTCTGTTAAATTCATACTTGTATACTTAAAGATGTTTTCTTAAAGGGGTGTTTGGGTTAGAATACGTTATATTGAACTACAATTATAAAATATTATTTTTATTCGTAATTACTAATAGACTATATTTCTTTTTAAATCAAATAAATGTAATAGAATTACTTAAATTATTTAAAAATTATTATTACATATCAAATATAAGTACCAGCTCCCATTTTTTTATTTTTTTTATTTTATTTTTAAATATTATTTATGGAAAATTTTTGACAATGTCGTCAAAGAATAGCTATTTCATTTCTTTGATTCAGTAAATTTTTATTTTTTATAAACTTAGTAATATATACTTTCTCATGTATGCACAAAGGACATGGGTCATTTAATGACCTACATATTCAAGCTTTTATTATTAATTTCCATTTTACTATAGGTATTTCATTAGTTTCTTTTGAAACAGGAATATTTTGATAGGGAGATCAGATTGCAGTATTTATTTATAGATGCAATTATAGAAATATATTTTGTTGTATTTTCCACTCTGTTGCAAAATCGGCAAACCATTGTCGTCTCTGTTTGTGTTTTCCTAAATATTATTTATTGAGGCAATGGGTAACGTCCACAGTTGGCAAATTACAGATCTTCTTATATACTAATTTATTTTCTTATTCTTTTTTTTTCTTCCGAACTCCAGGGTAGCCTCTGGCGCTTACCGTGGCCTGCTTGGTGCATGGGCTTGGCTGTTTGTCTCATTGCACTTTCCACAATTTGGATACCATTCGTGGCGCTTCTTAGAAAACTGAGACCATCCAGTTGGCCCGGGCATTCACCAGCATATTTCCCCACCAAGTTGATCCAAATAGAACGAAACCTGAAACCTTATGAGCCAACCAAATGTGAACGCTGTCTGCTCTTCAGGTGGGAGCCAAACGTCCCGCCCAGTAAGACACGGTCCGATGAAAAGCATCTTTCAGAGCTCAATTCTGTTTTTATATAAAAGATTGATTTTATATTTAAAGAGATTCAATTATTAGATACATCAGTGTGTAAGGAAGGGTTTGCCATTTAAATTAGCCATGAGGATATCTGCCATGATTATCTCCCTTGTTTTTTTTTTCACTGCCATATATTTATCTCTCCGAAACCTTGTTCCACCATCCATATACTCAAACTCACTAAGTAGGTTATGCGTTGTTTTCTTCTGTCCTGTGAGTATCAAATTTTCTAAGCCCTCTTTCCTCATTATGTAACATAGACATTTCAACAGTCTCTTCATGATGTTAAGTGTAAGTGTCCTTTTTCGTTTCCATTTTCTCTAAAACTTCGCCACTGTTCGGTCCATGGTATTATCAGCATCTTACCACATTTCAGTTGCTTCAAGTCTCTTCTTCATCTGTGAGGAGATTGTCTAGCTTTCACTGCCATAGAGGAGGACTGATATTACATCACAGTTCAGTACATTTTTCTTTGTTTCTAGCAAAACTTTTCTTTTTCTTAATACTTTGCTTAGCTTTTGGAAGACATCTTTCGCTATCCCAATGCGTCTTCGGCTTTCAGTGTCACACTTTTCATCCTCTGTTAAAACACTTCCCATATATTGTTGTACGTGTTTGATTTTGGTTTTTCCTATTTGTAATTATGGGGACGTGGCCAAGTGGTTACAACGTTCGCATTCTGTCCACGATACCCGGGTTCGAATCTCACCATGGTCGATTTGTTAAGAAGAAGAATTCCTGGTGTTAGCTGACTGGAGTGGTCGATCTCAGCATGCGGCACTTTTGGAAAGTGCCTGAAAACCATATCACGGGTTGACCCAAGCCTTGTGAATTAAATTGGGTAGACGGAACCCTTGGGTGCTGTCGATAGCTGTGCTAGCATGAAGTCACAAGTTATCGTGGCTGAAGGGTTGAGCGTGCTGGCCTTGTTCAAATTGTTGATCACGCTAAATAACACGCTTTTTCTCAGAAACTGTAACTAAGGTCTGCTCAGTATAGCTGCAGTATAAACCACAGGTGGGCTCAGTGGGTGTTGAATAAACACAAATATGCCTGAGCAAGCATCGGCAACAGGGATTGGCTAGCTAGAGTGGCCAGCTATACATTTGTAATTTCCATTTTGGACTCATTTTTTTTTTTGTTTTGTTGAAAATAATGCATTATGTCTTTTTGAAATTGTTGTTTAGTCCTTTCTTCTCACTTTCCTTCACTACCTTCTATAGGAGTTCTTGTAGTTTCCTTCCTGTGTCTGCTATCAACATTGTATAATCTGCATGCCTTATGTTGTTTAAGATCGTGGCCGCAAATAATGAATGCTGTTAGTTAGGACTTATAATTATCTCAGAATCGCCTCACTTTACCAATTCCAAATACGACGAGTAGCATTGGTATGCCTGCTTAATGCGAACAATTATACCAGGAATTGGCAGTGTACTCTGTAGAATAGCGAAAGCCATAACAAATATTTTAATACCATTTCTAGCAGCAATTAACTTTTCAAATATGAAATATTCCGGAGATCTGGTTGAATAACTAAGGGAGATAAATATGACAGAAAAACTAAGGGAGATAAATATGATAGATAAAAATGGCTATTACATGACAAATCCGTATGAAATGATGTATATAATAATTAAATATAATCAAAGATGCAAATAAATAAAATAAAATTAAAAAAAAAGAAATAATAAATACAGTAAAAAAATTAAATGTTTAAATTTTGAAGAAATTTATTTAATTAAAAAAACAAAACTTTTTGCCTTTTTTTAATAAAAGATATACTGTTACTATGCAATTTGGAGAGTGTAAAAGTAATTTAAATTTGAAGATTTCGGATTTTCTGTATATATGAATGATTAAAGAAATGTGCGTATTATACGAATGAACAAAATCTTTTATTAGTTTTGATGTTGCGTTTGGATTTATTCAACTCCTTCGGGAACTGCTATTTATCAATTTTTTTACTGACAATGTGTTCTCAACGCCAGATCTTGTGTTTATAGATTTTTTTTTAACCATTTCAGCGCAAACAAGGTGGGAATGCCACTAGTTCGCAGGGGGGTGGGGGCACAGAAAATGAATGGGAGAGAAAAGACTGAATAAAGGGAGGATTGAGGAAAGGACAAAAGATGAAAGGGATTCAAGAAGATAGAACATGCTGATTGACGTTGTATTTAAATTTTTGAAGATTGCAGTTGCTAGGGAAGTGAGTAAACGGAAGGGAATTCCACAGGCGGGAAAAGAAACAGTTGGTGTAGAAGTGGCGGTTGCATTTAGCTATTTCAACAGTAAACGGGTGTGACCTGGAAGTCAATCTAGTAGCCCACTTAAATTCACGTAATCCGGGTACCAGAGAAAAAAACTTGTCAGAGCAGTTGTCATGAAAATATTCGTAGAAAAGACAGAGAGAAGCCACGCGAACGTCGGTGAGAAAGTGAGTGAAGTCGAGATGTCAAGTCAGGATCGATTACATTACAGATCTTTCTTTGGATTTTGTCAAGAACCTCGAGATGAACGGCAGTGGGACCAGACCAAATATAGCAGCAGTATTCAATGCACGGACGAATGGTAGATTTGTAAACGTGCAAGTTGCATTCTGACGAGAAGTATTTTGCGGCACGACACAATGACCCAACTTTCCTTGCATTTTGTTTCTGTTGTGTTTTTGACAATAAAGTATTTCCTTTAAATAAACGGCTCTTTTTAATTCAGATAGCGGCCATCACAATAACAGGAACCATATAGCAATATGGCAGTTCCACTATAAAAAAAAAAATGACCGTTCTTCACTAGATGAGGTTTGCAACTAAACGGCACCAAACGATCATGTGTTCCACTCGTTCTAATCTCAGCCCCGTCATGCCATGCACCAAATTCATTCCCTTCATATTCCATTGGTAAGATGTTACTTCCACCCGAGACAAGTTTTTCCAAGAAACGCTGCTTTATGGAACCGACTCCCAAGAGAATGCTTCCCCGATCACTACAATGTTAACATATTCAAATCTATGGTGAACTGTTATCTTCCCCACATATCTCTATAAACTGTGCCTCTTACTCTGTAATCCTCTACCTCAAGTGGCTCTTTTCTCTTGTACAGGGTGAAAATTATTGTAAAAAGACGATTATGCAATATGATAGGTGCTGATCTCGTCTACAGTCGCTATCCCACAGACGTACCGTGGCCTCCCTCTGTCTTTTCTACAAGTATTTTTACGGCAGCTGTTCCGACGAGCTACTTTCGCTGGTTCCTAGACTGCATGAATTTAAGCAAGCTACCAGGCTGGCATCTCGGTGCCACTTTTTCACTGTGGAAACGGTTAAATGTAACCGCCCCTTCTACTTAAACAGCTTCTTCTTCCAATACTTTCCGTCTGTGGAACTCTCCTCCCCGATAGCTATAATCTTCAAATATTTAAGTGTAATGTCAATCGACATCTGATACCTTGAACTTATTCCCCGTCCTTCTCTGTATCCTTTCCCCAAACACGCCCCTCTACTCTTGTTCTCAATCCTCTGTAACCACTTGCGTGCTAGTGGCACTTCCGTCTTGCTTGGGGTGAATTGCTTTAAAAAAAAAAGAGTATATAGGACATTCATATTAGTCATTTGTCAATAAGATTTTCTTCTTTTTTTTTTAGTTTACATATTTGTAGTCTTGTAAGTTTTGACTGGACAATCGGTAAAGTTTAACTTTTGTGCTCGCAAAAAAACGAAACCAATAAAGGTGTATCAAAAGGACGTTTATTCCCTTGACACCGCTATTAAAATATACGATTTCTACTCCCTCGGCAATATTTACTTACTAAGATTATAGTAAATATGTGATCAAGTACATTGTGAGATTAATTATTTACCTTTTAGAAAGATTTATTTACTTTTTAATAAGAAATAAATTCTGAAAAAGTTATTTTACTCAAAAATTTAATAAAAAAACTACAAAACTATGAAAATTTGTAAATCAATTTAAATGCAATATTTATTATTTAACATTTGATAAATAACTATGGAAAAATATTTTTTATTCAATCTAATAAATAAAATAGTGTTTAACATCTTTGCTGTCAATTCTCAAGAAAAAAAAGAAATTGTATAAATCTATTTTCATATGTTTAGGTTCCATTGAAATTCTAATCATCGCTTTTCAAAAATAATAAACATTGCCGAGGGAGTCAAAAAGTGTATACAGTAATAGCGGTGTCAAGGGAATAAGTGTCCTTTTGACACACGGTTTGTTTTTTTTTTTTGTTTTCTCAGGCAACATTAAACATTGCCGGACAATCTTTCTTATTATACCAACAGAAAATTTGCGAGGGAAATGACATTCAATATGACTACACAAAGAGAACCGTTTATATATTTAAAACCATATATATATATATATATATATATATATATATATATATATATATATATATATATATATATATATATATATAATTTAAATAACAACAGACCACTTTAAGGTTCCATGTAATAAATTATTTCACCACAGCCCTTTTAAAAGGACTACGGATCATCGGACTTTACTTCAAACAAAAAATGAAAATAAAATTTACACATGTATTAATGTTTAATCAATGTTTAATACGGCCCGTCAAAAAATGTGTAAATTTTCTTTTCATTTTTTTGTTTGGAAGTAAAGTCTGATGATCCGCAGTCATTTAAAAGGGCTGTGGTGAAATAATTTATTACATGGAACCTTAAAGTTGTCTGTTTTTATTAAATTATTTGCTCTGGATTTACATTGAGCTCTCTGGATTTTATCTTCCTTAGGTTTACCCATACAGATTACTTAGTTTTTCATAAACTATATATATATATATATATATATATATATATATATATATATGTATAGTTTTAAGTTTTTAGTTATATATATATATATATATATATATATATATATATATATATATATATATATATATATAGTTTTAAAAATGGCG